TTTGACAAAATGCTGTATTTTGACAAAATTTAACGTAATCCAACATGTTCTGATTAGTGCTAAGATTCTGCAGATAAATTTGGGTTTTAATATTATTATATAAAATATCTTCATAATCAAGGCTCTAAGCACTTGAGAAATCAAATCTCACCATACTAGCTTGATTCTGATTTCATTTACACTAGTGTACGTGATTAAAATCGGGCCATATCCTGCTTTCCTTGACTGTTTGGGGTGGCTCTCAGGACCATGATGGGACAGAGATTTTGCCTAAGGGCCAAGAAGTCTTACCTCAAGATGATCTGACAGAATTTCTCTTGGCCTACCTTTAGGGTAGGCTGCAAGGCCTATATATTTCCACTGACACTATCCTTTACTTTTTTCCAATCCCACTCCCCATTTTGCTTCATTCCAGCTATCAGTCTGGGAATCAATCCCTTTCATAGGTGGGGCAATTAACTTTTGGGGACAGAAGAAGGGAATGTTGCAGTTTCCGTCATAGCCTGACAAGACAAAGAAAATGGGTATTTGAACTGTATAATTCTTTCTTAGTGATTTCTGTTTTATACTTTTGTGGTCATTGGTGAGAATGTGGGAAGCTTGGAAACAGGTGCCCTAATAAATGGGTGAAATTAAATAAAAATATATGTACACATTAGCCCTATTCCTTTCAGGCATTGCAAAAATCCACACAACTGAACAAATTAGGTGCTGAAATGGTGAATTTAGCAATATCTGCAGGTAAGCAACATATTGTGAAAAACTGGAAATCCAAATGAAACCTTTAATTTAATTAAATAAATTAAAGTATCATCTGTATTGCGGTAGCACCTAGGAGGCCTAGTCATGGACAAGAACCCCATTGTGTGAGGCACTGTACATACACACAAAACAAAAAGATAGTCCCAAAGAGCTTAGTGCAATATCCTGCAGTGCAAGGTGGAGAATAATCAACTTTGTTCGGTGGACACTCAGTAGGCCACGCCATATAATCTCCACAAAATATCAACATCAGCCAAAGTTTAACAGGCAACATTTCAGTGAGGTATCATATTACTAATACATATTTATTATTACAAAACATACCTTGCTTAGCTGTTGTCTGTCTTCATTTGTTTGACAAATTTGTAAATTAGAGTAATTTGCAATGAGCATCCATGATATTTATTTCAAATATGACCAAGGTGTAGGTCAAAATGGCCGTGAAGGGATTGTCATTTTTGTACTTTAGAAGTACGAGTCTGCTCTGAAAAGTGACTAAAATTGAACATTAAATATGCACAAGGGCAATAAATAAGAAGAATCATAGCTGCTGACTTCAGTGATATAAAGTAATTGCCTTTTACTTCTGTTAGCACTGTAGCCAAAATAGATGGGTGAGCTGCATTCTGCTGCTCCTTGTGAATGAACAGAATGCTTACTAAGTTCTAAACAGCTACACCTGTGTACTACACTGAGGACAATAGGACTGTAGATACCACTGAAGGTGTAATAAGATGAAGAGCACTGGGCACTGCACAGCGTCAAGCCTTTATCTTTAGTGATGACATGGGGAAGGAAAGACCCCAGCCTGACCTGTACAGTACAGGGCTGCCAAGTACCGAAACCTCTTTATCTATGAAAAGAGCACATCTGATATGGAGTCAGTGAACTAACAATAGATATGAAACCCAGGCTGTCATTTTACAGTGACTTTGAAGTCTTAGGGTGAAATCTTGAAGTAAATAGTAAAACCCCCATTTACTTCACTGGGACCAAGATTTCACCCCAGAGACCAATCACGGACTTCACTGGGAATTGTCTGCATGCAACCGGGGGGAGGGATAGCTCAGTGGTTTGAGCATTGAGCCTACTAAACCCAGGGTTGTGAGTTCAATCCTTGAGGGGGCCATTTAGGGATCTGGGGCAAAAATCTGTCTGGGGACTGGTCCTGCTTTGAGCAGGGGGGTGGACTAGATGACCTCCTGAGGTTCCTTCCAACCCTGATATTCTATTAAAAAAAAAAAAAACTGACAAGATGAGCAAGCCTTTAAACCACTGATATCCCAAAGCAAATGCATGGTTCTCAAAATAAAACAGGAAGACTGAGAAAATTAACTGAAGCCTGATCATTATTGAAATACATTTACCTGGACAGCCCACTTGAGTAAAACAGGCTGAGCCATCCCTATCCACCCACAATGCAGTACTGCAAAATTAGGTGCATTACAAGGTCTGACACTTTCCTCTGAAGCACCCAGCCTTGGTCAATGTTGAATGACAAAGGACTAGATTGGAATTATTGTACTGGAACATTCCTATGTACCTTTATAAGTTAGCTTATCTTGGCCTGAAGTGGGAACTGCAGGCACATTGATAAATTGACAGCTCATCAAATTTCACTGGAGCTTCAATAAATATTTTTCTAGTCTCTGCTGAAATGTTATATAACTTTTTACAGCTACTTCTCAGCCCAAACCTGATCTTTAAAAGAAAAGCACCTGGGTTGCTGAATATTTTAGACCAGTGGTTTTCAACCTTTTTTTTCATTTGCATACCCCTGAAAAATTTAGAATGGAGCTACAGAACCCTTTGGAAATCTTAGACATAGTCTGCGGACCCCCAGGGGTCTGCGGACCACAGGTTGAAAACCAGTTTTAGACATTAACCTGGGATGCATCCTATGATTTAAAAAGTTTTTCAGAAAAAAAAAGATGAAAAACCAGCACTGTGCATGTGAGGGGGCACCCCTCACCTTATTAGGGAAGACGGTAATGAGTTCTTCTGGGTTCAGCCAGCACTAACTAGATACACCTGCAAGGCTTGTTCTGTCTGGAGGAAGGAAGCTTAAAAAGTGAAAGCCTGCCACAGGAAGGGACAGTAACTGAGGAAGACTGCTGTGCCTCAGAGACAGGTGATTACAGGGAGAGAGATCAAAGAAGAGGGAGACAGTTTCTGCCCCAGCCGCCCCTCAGTCTGCCTGTATCAGGTACAGACCAAATGTTAGCCAAAAAAAAAGGGGGGGGGGGAGAGAAAGGTGTTGTTTAAGGAAGGACTCTAACCCTGATTAGGACAATAAAAAGCCTACAGACAACCCAGGACCAAAACGAGTGACAGAGATACTGACCAAGAGGCTAAGCACCTTTCCCCCCCACCCCCTTTCTTTACTTTGTTCCTCCCTGCCCTTAGAGAAGGGGAAAGGAACTTCTTTTTGGAGAGATTTTATACACCCACAACAGGGGAAGGACTCTTGTGTCAGAGAAAGGAAGCAACCCAAATTGTGGTCTGGTGGGGACTCAGTGGGCATCACCCACTACAGGGCATTTCTTACTGAATCAAAATTAGCACATTTATAGTTCTGCAACATGAAAAGGGTGGTCCCTGAATGAAATGAAAGTGAAAGAAGCTTTGGGCTTAGAGAACATTCTGACTGGAGATCTATGCATGGATTTAAAATTACTTGCAAAATGTACAGTATGTGCAAGTCTACAACGCACACATGGTCTCAAGTGGTAGCAGGCTAGCAATTTATGTCACTGAACACTACTAAGCCTTATGGAATTTAAGACCAAGTTGCAGTAAATAAACAACTTCCTTGCTTTAAATTATGATAAAATTCTGATCTAAATGACACCATGTTGCATAATATACGGAAAAAAGGAAATGGACCTAGATTTAAAAGATCTATACAGTTTGCTTGAGAACATGTTCGAAACCTCTATTTCAAAACATACTGCAAAACAATTAGATGGCAATCGCTTTGGGTGAAAATCACCACCCAGATCACAGGACTCGGGGTGACGCCTCATCATAGTGTGGTCAATTCCATAGGATCAATTTCATTGCTTACACCTTTGGCTTCTTTGAAGATATACTAGTTTTAATGCAACACTTACAATTTTATTTCCAATATTAAGTGATATACAGCATTACTATCACCAGAGGTAACAAAGCCCATTTATAATGTACTTGTAAAGCATAAATGGGACAACAAAGAATGAAGCATTGATTTGTTAAATACTCTGGGCCACATCCTCAGATGATGTAAATTAGCATTGCTCCATTGATCTCAGTGGAGTGATGCCAATTTACATCAGCTGAGGAGCTGTCACTTATGAAGGTGAAAGAGTATAGACAAGAGTGATCAGCTGAAGAGCTCATATATACTGAACACATATTTTACATTTTAAGTATATTAGAAAAGTGGCAATAACTCTGAAGAGGTGGTGTCTGTATAATTTTTTCATCTTTTGAAGATTGATCCCCCTTGGATCTATATGCTGTATGTCAATAATAAAAACAGAGCATCAGGGAAACAAGAAAAAAATCACTGCATTTTTGTTGGCATCATAAACTATAGTTATTTGACCTTCTCTCTTTTGGTTTATGAAGCTCTTGGAGATATTTTCTTGTAAAGCCCAGATGTTTTTCTATATTTGAGCAACTCAAGAGAGATACTATAGTTATAGTTATTAAGCAACAGACTAAAGACACTCACTGGTAACATTTAAAAACTTTCCAGTTAAAAAAAAAAAAAAAAAAAAAGAAGCATTTGCTTAACATAGTAAATATCTATACAAATGAAAGCACCATGGAGGTTATGTCTGCAAATGACATAAAATAACCAGTTTCTAACAAGATGGGTGAAAATGTACAGTCACTGGAACTTATTAATAACTTATTTATTTAGGTATCAATTCAGGAAGGTACTAACTTCCTAACTTTAAGTATTTGAGCAGTCCCACTGAAATCAATGAGAATTACACATACTGACCTTGCATACAAATATCTAACTGTGGTTTCGGATTTGGTTTCAAACTGTGGTACACGTATTCTGTAATACAATGTGCCAAGAATAATCTCCAATTGTTTCCATTTAGGTTTATATTTTCATTACTTAGTGAAGAATAAGGATATGACTGGTGAAATCTGCATTGTGTAACAAAGATATAGCAGGTGAATATATATTGTTTTTGCCACTTTTCTTTCTGGAGATATAGAAGGAAATTTCAGTAAACTGATACTTTTTAGAAATTTGTTTTAAATAACACTCAGAATTATATACAATCTCTTAACAGCATCATCATCAATGGCACTGCTTAGTGCCACAAAATGGTTCTGAGACATGTGTGAGAGTATATGGAGAATGCTATTTTTTCATCTCCAAGATCGCACTGCCTGGTCCTCTGTGCTTAGCACTGCAGATGTTGCAGAACTGCAATGGGGACATCTGGAAATTTAAAAGAAAGGTATGTTAGTTAGATAGTACTCTGTATTCTGCAACAAAACAATTGTCATATGAAAATTTACCTCAGAATTTGGGAAGGTAAATGTAAGTCACTCCATGAATTCTACAGCTTTCTAGCGAGCGCATACCTCCTGTGCACGTTCGCACATACACATAGGTAGGCAGTATAACAGAATGTATTATGCATGAAATAATTATGCTTGGAGCCAAGAAGCAGTATATTCCTCCTCGCCGTTGCAGGTGCTCTAAAAGACACCCTTCAGAACGATGTGTATGTATATAACAAACATACACTGAAGCCAAATTCTGCCCTTATGAGGATTAAATACTTATGTGAACAGCTATGTGGAACAAAGACAGCACAAATTACTTGGCACACTGTCCTCGCTCTTTGGAAGATCTGTGCTGGTGGATCTGGCTGTGAGTGGATTTCTGAGCCACATCCCCAGATGGTGTGGATTGGCATAGCTTCATTGATTTCAAGGGAGATAGGCTGATTTGCACTAGCTGAGGATCTGGGCCAGAGTCTCTATGTTTTGTTACCCAAATCAAACAATTTTTTAACTCCTGCTTTTACCCTCATACGTTCCTTACGTTTGCATCATTCTTCCTCCAATATGCCCCACTATGCCTATATGCATCAAGCAGGCTTCCTATAACTATAACCGGCACGGCACCAAACAGCAACTGCTCAGCAGAAACACTAGACACAATATTAAGACTCCTACAGTACCAATTACAATAAAAGTCAACTTTTTAAAACAAATCCCCGTAAATGTTATCTAGCCTTCTTTGTCCAGGAACAAAATTTCAGATTGGCTTTTGGCATCCTGGTCTTTGAGCCAAAATTTGACTATTCTTCAGATAATCCAATTCATAGTACGGTAATTATTGCTAGTAAATATTGTCTGGTCCAACAACAAATTGCCAACAAATAATTGCTTTTAAGAGAAATATTTAAGAGGCTTTATTATCATGGGAACACACTAGTAAAATAAAGATCTCTGTGATAAATATTTAAATATATACTTTTTGATGTGCGAATACGGAGATGCCTTGTTTAGTTTGTTACATTTGCTAGAGGGAGTAGTTCTTTAGACAATGACTTTACTTTACAACAAAACAGACAAGTAAAAAATGTCTTAAATTTCACTTGTTTTTCCTGTTTTATTAACTTTCTGATGCTTTTATTTCTAAATCCCTGTCCAATTTATATATATATATAAAGTTATTTATTGTGTTTTCACTCTACAGCCAAAACAATTTAATTCAACAGATAAAGCAAAAATTCTCAGCAAAAAAAGTGAATATAAACAAAGTTATTTAAATATTTATTCACTAAAACATGAAGATGTTTTCCTCTCCAGATCAAATCAGTGAATGTAAGTTTCTTAAGAAATTGTTTTATTATGGAAGTTAATTAAATTAAAACACATCTTAGAGAGCTGCTATGGAAAAGTTTAAAAAACAAAATCAAACAGCTCATTCACTAAGGCTCTGAAATGCATTTCATATTCAGATGTGAGAAAAATCAAAATATTTTTCTTGTCTGAGAGCAGCAGTTTTCATTTAAATTATATGTATTTTGGTTGCAGTTGGGTTAACTACCCTTCTCCTAGACACATACTGAGATACAGTCAGGAATAATTGTAATAATCATTTTATAATCCCCGACAAACATGTGCCCTTCTCTGTGGATGGCAAAAGCAAACCATTTGTCCTTTTGTCCTTGATGAAGGTGATCTCTCATATCCACCGAGATTAAGTTGGTTGCTTACTGTGCTAGGTACAGGGAGGCACTCTTTGTGAAACATATGCCTGCAATGGAACACTGTCACACTGAAGGATTTGGATGCATCTGGGGGGGGGAGAAAATAAATACATTACAATGAGATAGTGAAACAAGGGAGCTGATGGTTATAATAATTTACCTTACCTATGCAAAAGATATTGACATATTCCATTATTTATGCAGAATAATAGTAACGTTTTACATTTAGGTAGCGTCCTTCAGCTTAACGTATTCCAAAAATTTTACAGATTATTATAGATGGTTCAGGTAGCGCCAACAGTTAATACTGCCCAACACTTTCCATCATGAAAGACCATTTGCTAGTGCTTATAACTTTGCTAAACTTAATCCATTTGGGCTGAAATTTTCTATACAGCATGTCTGCCTAAGGCTGATTTTTTTTGGTGGGGGGAAGGAGGGAATCTCAGCTAAAACAGTTCAACCACTTCTGAGAACAAGGTTAGGGAAAATAGATTGTTTTGCCCATGTTAAAAAAAATTCTACAACTGTTTGTTGAGAAGCTCTAGCATGATTTGGAGCAAGGACTTTAAATTTGGCAAAGGGCTGCTCTGCAGTCAGCCTTTTGATGTCCCCATGAAAATTCGCCCAAGTTATAAGCCTCTGAATAACTCTTATAGTACATAGATTGTCCATAAATACACATGTAACCCCTTTGGGGTTTAGAGAGCATGGCCCCTTTAAATCTTTTTCCTAGGTGGGAAAGGGAGAGTAAGAAAAAAGGAGGGAAACTCCAGGGGGTGGCGCTGGAGCTGAGAGGGAGAGCAGCCTGCAGGCCCTCCCAAAGGGAGCAGCAGAGAATCTGCCTGAAGCCTGGGAAGGACAGGGCCGATCGGGGACACCCCCGGACAGGAGCCAGGAGGAGACTGTACTCGGGAGGAATCGCCCGAGAAGGACAGGCCGGATCTGGACCCAGTAGCACGGCTGCCCAGAGCTGCATGGGGCTGTGAGTACTGGGGCTTGGGACTCTGCATTGGGAACAAGGAGGGAGGCTGTAGCTAGTTAAGTGGGGAGGTGGTCGCTCTGTGTGGCTTTGCAGAGAGCAGCAGAAGAGGGCACCGGAGGGGTTTGTTGGGGAAAGTTCACTGGCGCCGAAGATGACCAGGAGCACCCAAGAGTCACCACTGGACTGGAACTTTGCTCAGGACTCCTGAACACTGTGTGCAGACACATTGCTCAGTGTCTGACCTTCCAGACTGTGTTACCACTGGGCCTGTGGGGCCTTGGTTTGGATGCAACCCTGTTTTACCGCTCCCCTATATTTCCCTTTGTTGTTTTTCTCCTCTCATCCCTCTTTCCCTTTGTTATATCCATTGTATAGCTCAGTGGTTTGAGCACTGGCCTGCTAAACCCAGGGTTGTGAGTTCAGTCCTTCAGGGGGCCACTTAGGGATCTGGGGCAAAATCAGTACTTGGTCCTGCTAGTGAAAGCAGGGGGCTGGACTCGATGACCTTTCAAGGTCCCTTCCAGTTCTAGGAGATAGGATATCTCCACTCTGGGGGTTTGGAACAGGTGCCGCTGGGGTGGAAGGGATTTCTCCTGCTGCATTCCTGCGCGCGCCTTCTCTTGGCCAGAGCTGCCTGCAGAGCAGACTCCATCTTGGCCACGAGGGCGCTAAAGTTACACACACAGGAATCACTTCACGCATCATTAATATGCAGTTTTTAATGCATTAAAAATAGGTGGCCAACCATCACTGGAACATCCCCCCCTTCCAGATTTTCTACTACCAGAGGCCTGTGCTAGGCTTGATGTTGGTGGAGGTGAACACAGCAGAACTACATTGTGAATCTAGCCCATGGTCTGACAAAACCATTTCAGTTCTACTTTCTCTTCTACGCCATGTCCACATCAATTTGGCAAATGATGAAGAAAAAACAAAACTGAAATGAAAGTGCTTCCTTGAATGCTCTGTGCCATTGCTCAGTAGCTGGCTTTTTCACTAAAAAGAAAGTAATCTTATTCAAATACTTAGCCATAAGTATTGTCATTTGGAGGGCTCAGGCCAACCTATTCTATTGAATCAAGCTATAACCTTCTCATGCTGAGGAACAAGTGAAAAAAAACAACTATACATATTTTTTGTGATATAACACCCTCCCAAAATATATATCTTTATAAATAATGCTTTGCTGAATTTCTATTTTCAGGGCTAATCTCAGAAAATGTTTTAAAACTGCAGTCTGTTATAAGATACAGTAACTCCTCGCTTAATGTTGCAGTTATGTTCCTGAAAAATGTGACTTTAAGCGAAATGATGTTAAGTGAATCCAATTTCCCCATAAGAATTAATGTAAATGGGGGGGAGAGGGGGGTTAGGTTCCAGGGAAATTTTTTTCACCAGACAAAAGACTATATATATATATATATACACACATATACATATACATATACATATACACACACACACACCCACACACCCCTACCTCTACCTCGATATAACGCTGTCCTCGGGAGCCAAAAAATCTTACCGCGTTAAAGGTGAAACCGCGTTATATCGAACTTGCTTTGATCCGCCGGAGCGCGCAGCCCTGCCCCCCCGGAGCACTACTTTACTTCCGAATTCATGTTATATCGGGGTAGAGGTGTGTATATGTGTGTGTGTGTGTGTGTGTGTGTGTGTGTGTGTGTGTGTGTGTGTGTATATATAAAATATATATATATACACTCACACACACACACAGTATAAGTTTTAAACAAACAATTTAATACTACTGTACACAGCAATGATGATTGTGAAGTTTGGTTGAGGTGGAAGTCAGAGGGTGGAAAAGGGTGGGATATTTCCCAGGGAATGCCTTACTGCTAAATGATGAACTAGCACTAGCTGAGCCCTCAAGGGTTAACGCATTGTTGTTAATGTAGCCTCACACTCTACAAGGCAGCACAAATGGAGGGAGGGGAGACAGCATGGCGGACAGAGACACACACCCTGTGTGTGAGAGAGAGAGAGAGAGAGAGAGAGAGAGAGAGATACGCATTGCCCCTTTAAGTACGCTGACCCCACTCTAAGTACACTGCCTTTTTAAGTAGATCAGCAAGTTGAGACAGCAGCTGCTGCCGCCAGCAAGCTTCCTCCGTCCTGAGCCCTGTCGTGTCCCCCTCCGCTCTATGGAGATGGGGTAAGCGGGGGGGAGGGGGACACCCTGACATTAGCACCCCTCTTGCCCCCCATCCCCCGGGCACAGCAAGCAGGAGGCTCCCGGGGAGCAGCTCCAAGGCAGAGGGCAGGAGCAGCACATGGCAGTGGGGGGAGGGACAGCTGAACTGCCAACAATTGATAGCCTGCTGGGCGGCTGCTGCACAGGGAACTTAGGGGAGCGGGGAGCTGATGGGGGGCTGCCGGTCCACCCTGGTTCCAAGCCCCAACCAGCTAGCTCCAACGGGCTGCTCTTTCTGCAAGCAGTGGACAAAGCAGGCGGCTGCCAAACAACATTATAAGGGAGTATTGCGCAACTTTAAACGATCATGTTCCCTAATTTATCAGCAACGTAACAACAAAACAATGTTAACCAGGACAACTTTAAATTTTTTTACTGTAAGTGCAAATATCTTAGCACTGAATGAAGCAATGTGTTTTCAAATGCTCAGATTGTAACAGGTTTATTCCACGAACAACAATAATTTTTGATTTATATTTCCTAAAAAAGGATTTTCTCTCACAGGGTCTCTTTCCCACCAAGTGTCCTACCTGAAGGAAGTATAGGGGAAAGACACGATTCACAGATATTCTCCTCTGTAAGAAAACAAATATTTAAAAATTAATGACAAAGAACGTTATCATCATGCCTCAAGCAGATATGGCCCTGTCTTTACTATAGAAATTCCAGCATCCAATGCTGCATTTTGAGGAATTATTTATTTATAATGCTCTATGCAGTCTATTAAAAATTTAAGTATGAAATAGAAGCAGCCTTATTGTCAGCATGAAAATATGTAGTAAGGTGCTCAAATTCTGTGGAGAACGTGCCATTTAAACACCTAGATTGACAGTCAGATCAGAGCTGTAAACTCACAGGAAGAGCTTTGAAAGAGGTTAAAAAAATATATGGCTGTTTTTTTCATGTACATATGCTGTATCAGAAGCTCTGATCCTCTGACTTTACAAATGTCCGGCTTTCTCGTGTTGGAATTATCATTGCATTTCCTTGGAGTTACACAACGGCTGATTATTTTTTTTTTATCATAGGTGCTTTTGAAATAGTTTCAGGTATCTTTAAAAGATGTATTGTAATTTCTTGTTTAGGTTATATATTCTGATTAACAGAATATTTGCGTAGCCAACAGCTCCCAAAAGGCAATACTTTTTATCTTGATCAGAGCAGAGACTACTTGGATCAAGATAAAGTACTGACACAGGGCCCTGTAGTTTCCAGAAGCTAGCAATTCCTCATTAAAGATGAGGGCTAGCAGCATCATACTCCATTTTCTGTAAATTTGGTATGAGGCCCAGGCCCTTGGCAAGCTTCCAATATTGTCCTTGGTTGGGCACCCATAGTCTAAAAGCAAAGAATACTGCTCAACAGTTTTGAAGACTTCCGTATTTTGTTTGTACCCACCATCCACGCGGACGCCTTTCATTTGAGTTCGGTGCATTTTCTTCAATAGTGACAGTGAGTCTGCAACAAGTATCTTCTTGCATCCCTCACGTAGCAAAATCTATCACAAAGTACACAACCAGATAAGATTAAGTCAATTACTATACATGCAAATGGAGAAAACTGTACTCAGATCTTGTCATACATGATGAGGCCAACCTTAAAAACTTCTCATTTGACTAATAAGAAATGCCACCTCAGTACTTGAAGCATTCCCTATATCAGTGCTTCGCAAATTCTAAACCTTGGGATTCCCTGTGAAACTAAGGCCTTGTCTACACTACGAATGGAGATCGATCTAAGTTACGTAACTTCAGCTATGTGAATAATGTAGCTGAAGTTGACGTACCTAGATCTACTTACCGCAAGGTCCACACTATGCAATGTTGATTGGAGACGCTCTCCTATTGACTTCCCTTGCGCTTCTCATTCAGGTAGAGTACAGGAGTCGACGGGAGAGCAATCTGCGGTTGATTTAGCAGGTCTTTGCTAGACCTGCTAAATCGACCGCTGATGCATCGATGCTGCGCGTCGAACCCCAGGTAAGTGTAGACAAGGCCAAAGAAAGGTTCAATTACTTTCTCCCCAAAAATATCTAAGCAAGCAAAATTTTTAACTATAACCAAACCACAAGCAAAGTTATAAAATTTCAAAAGACAAACTTAATTAGAAAGGAAGGGAGGGGGTCAAAAATTTTAAATACCCACTCAATTCAATACAATGGATGAACTTGCCTATGGTAAGGTTCCAATGGAAGAACATCTAAGGGAAAAAGGAGATCAGGAGAGCTGGCAATTTCTCAAAGGTGCTACAACAAACTATCCCAACATGAAGGAAAAAGATGTAGAATACTAATAGGCCACTATGGCTGAATCAGGAACTCTTTAATGACCTGAACGTCAAAAAGGGATTCTACAAAAAGTGTAAATATGGACAAATTTCTAAGGATGAATATGAAAGATAGCACAAACATGCAAGAACAAAATCAGAAAGTCTAAAGCCTAGACCTACCAAGGGACATAAAATGTAATAAGAGGTTGTATAAATACATCAGGAGCAAGAGAAAGACCAATACAAATGTAGGTCATCTACTTAGTATGGACGGAGAACTATTAATAGATGATATCACGAAGGTTGAGGTATTTAATGCCTACTCTGTTTCAGTCTTCTCTAAAGGTGTAAATTGTGACTAGATACTTAACACAATTAATATTAACAAGGGGAAAGGAACATTAGGCAAAAGAGAGAAAGAACAGGTTAAAGAATATTTACATAAATTAGATGTATTCAAATCAGTGAAACCAGATGAAATTCACCCTAAGGTACTTAAGAAACTAGCTGAAACAATCTTGGAACCATTAGCAATTATCTTTGAGACCTCAAGAGGGATGGGTAAGGTGCCAGAGGACTGAAGAAGAGCAAATATAGTACTTATCTTTAAAATGTACCAGTCAGCCTAAGTTCAATAGCTGGAAAGATATTGGAACAAATTATTAAACAACCAATTTGTAAGCACCTAGAGGATAAGAGCGTTATAAGTAATAGCAAACATGGCTTTGTCAAGAACAAATCATGCCAAATCAACCTAATTTCCTTCTCTGAAAAGGTTACTGGCATAATGGATGGGGGGAGCAGTAGAGGTAATACATCTTGGTTTTAATAAGGCTTCTGACAGTCTCCTATACATTCTCATAAGCAAACTACAGAAATGTGGTCTAGATGAGATTACTATAAAGTAGGTGCAAAACTCCTTGAAAGACCATACTGAGAGTAGTAATCAATGGTTCACTGTCTAGCTCAGGTGATGAATCTAGTGGCATCCTGCAGGGGCTGTCCTGGGTCGAGTACTATTCAATATTTTCATTAATGACTAGGATTACGGAGTGGAGCACATGTTTATAAAATCTGTTGATGACTCCAAGCTGGGAAGGGTTGCTAACATTTTGTAAGAGGATTAGAACTCAAAACAACCTTGATAAATTGGAGAATTGGTCTGAAATCAACAAGATGAAATTCAAGACAGACAAGTGCAAAGTACTACAGTTAGAAAGGAAAAAAAAATGAATTGCTCACCTACAAAATGGGGAATAACTGGCTTGGTGGGAGTACTGCTGAAAAGGATCTGGGGGTTATAGAGGATGAAAAATACAAGTCAACAATGTGATGCAGTTACAAAAAAGGCTAAGTCAACAATGTGATGCAGTTACAAAAAATTCTGGGGTGCAGTCACAAGAGTTTCATATGTAAAACCGTGAGGTAGTTGTCCTGCTCTACTCGGCACTCGTGAGGCCTCAGCTGGAGTACCGTGGACAAATTGGAGTGCTTTAGGAAAAATATGGACAAATCGGATTCCAGAAGAGAGATAACAAAGGATAAAAGGTTTAGAAAAGCTGACCTATGAGGAAAGGTTAAAAAAAATGGCCATGTTTAGTCTTGGGAAAAGAAAACTGAGGGGGAACTTAACAACAGTTTTCAAATATGCATAAGGTTGTTATAAAGAGGATGGTGATCAATTGTTCTTCGTGTCCACTGAAGGTAGAACAACAATAATGGGCTTAATCTGCAACAAGGGAGATTTGGGTTAGATATTAGGAAAAACTTGCTAACTATAAGCAGAGTTACGTACTAGAATAGACTTTCAGAGGGAGGTTGGGGGGTTTTTATGAACAGGTTAGACAAACACCTGTCAGAGATGATCTAGGTATACTTGGTCCTGCCTAAGTGCAGTGGTGGGCAAGGCTGGGGGGAGGGCGCTGGACTACATGACCCGTTAAGGTCCCTTCCAGCCCTACGTTTCTAGGATTCTAGAATCACATTGGTCCCTTCTGGTCTTATAATTTATTCATTCAGCTCTTCTAGCTAGCAAGACAGGTTAAGCGAGCCACCCAAGATGAACGACTGAAGGTATTAGCAAGGGGACAACTCATCATTAAGGAAAATTTTCTTCAGCATGTTTGTCCACATGGATTCCCTTCTTGATGCGCACACTTCCCATGAGCACAAGATCAGTTTCATTTGGTCAGAGGTGTCAGCTGGAGCCATGACTGCACCCTGCATGTCCTTGCTCCCCACCCTCCTCCAAGGGCATAGAGGGCTGAGCAAGGCCATCAACAACCTGGGAGTATTCCTGAATGATTTTGTCCTGTTGATGTAAGACAACAATGCCCTTACTACATCGAGTGTGTGAAGTTTAGCTTCCCCTGGGGTGGAATGAGGCTTAGGAAACAAAATGGGAGTTGAATGGATTGGTTTATATGGAATTCTGACACAACCTTGGGCAGAAACTTGAGGTGAGGTCTGAGAGCGACCCTGTCCTTATGAAACTGTATAAGGAGTACCGGTTATCTTCCCTACCCGTCAAGCTGATGTAATAGTTATTAACAACAGCCTTCATAGACAGGTAGTATAAGGAACAGGTTGCTAAAGGCTCAAAAGGAGGACCCATCGCCTTGCTAGTACTATACTGAGGTTCCCGAAGAGGGAAGGGACTCCCACGCGGAAGGAAAAACATGAATGATGTCCTTAGGGAATCTAGACCTGCAGCGTGGGAAAAAATAGTATGGCCCTGGAGGGTGATATGCAGATATTGCTACTAAATGGACCCTTACGGAGCTGCTGGAAAGCCCAGATTTGTTTCAGGGCTAGCAAATAGTCCAAAAGCTGGTATTGAGATGCTGAAATAGAGAACCTCTTCTATTAAGCTTTGTAGGTCAGTAACTGTGCTTCTAATTAACACACACTGGCACACAGTGTGCAGAGAAAAGGTGGACACTGCAGGAGTTCAGTCTCATTTCCACAGGTGGTAAGAAGGATAGTTGGGCCTGCTTGGCCATTTAGGCGCTTGCTGGGGATGGGGATCCTTGCACAAGGATATCTAAAGTGCAGGCACAGCCCCAGCGGACACTACTGGCCAAAAGAAACCAATCTCGTATGATTGGGGTGCGTGTGCTCCATATGGACAATCAGTGGAAGAATTTGCACTTCTGCTCTAAATTTGAAGACTCAAGTTAGTATGTTACCAAGATAAAGGCTCCTCACTTCCATAAGAAAGAAGAGTTTGCTGAGAAGGGATAATAAATCCTATTGAAAATACTGATGGCCCCATTTCAAATCTGGAAGCTCCAGGCATGCTCTGACTTAGACAACCAACACTTCTCAACCAGGAGCAATCACCCACACCAAATGGAGAGCTGCACATTGTCTACTGCTGGCTCTCTCAGTCCTCTGCCTTTTATAAGTGACAGCAGAAGTCAAACCTTCTCATGGCCCCAAGATCATCCCAAGATGTCTTCATGCCCCCAGAAAACTACTAGAAGCTGCATCATGGGGCACCTTTTTAATCACCAAGTAAGATTTTGTTGTCTTCCCATAGAGAGCAGAATTCTTTTAAAATACACTACCATAAGAGCTGTACCCTTCCCCCTAGCTCCCTTGCTCCTCCTACACCTCACTTCTCACCCCCACAAAAAGGAGGATGGGCAGGCATTTTCCTACAGTGCCCCACCACTCCCAATCACTTATATCCTCCATCTTACACCCACGTTCGTTACTCCTTTCCCAAGATCCTTGTCTTTCTCCTCCCAGGGGCAACTTCCTTGCCAGTTTAATTCCCTCACCCCAGCCAATCTGTATCTCTACTTACACAAACAAACAAAACACACCTAAAAATGGAAAGAGAAAAAGGGAGCCAATCATGTTACTATGATTCCTTCTACATCCTCCAAGAAAAGACACTTGGGAACACATTACATGTAATAAACATTTCCAAACTGACAACTAAGATCCTTCAAAGTTTATTTTTGTTCAAATGTATTTCACACTGACAAGTTATTTATACAGACGTTTTGGGTGCCAAGAAAATTAATCAAAGCTTTAGCTTTCACTTCTTGTTAGTGAAAGTCTCAGTCCTTCTGCATTTCTCTAATGCATTTCATTAGATGGACATTATTGTTCAGCAATATTGTAAAATGCAAGCCTGGAATCAATGGTGCCGAATTATGTACAGTATTATTATAGAGTCCCTAACGATGCAGAACCAAGGAAAAGGACATTTGAATTTCCACAACATGAAGCATGTTTATGCAAGTTTAACAACCCTGAATAAGTCGCAAGTTCCCATTTTTCTGGATGGTTTGAAATAATTAATTTCCATGAAACCAGTTTTCAAACAGCACTCTCAGTCACAGTTTTTAGTTTGACAATCCTACAAACAAAATGTGCTGTAAGAAGAGAATGATTGCACCATTTCTTCTGATTATCTGTACTCTAAGAAAGAGTGAATAAACTAACGTGGAACACTCAGCTGTAAAACTAATTGAAAGAATATATCATAGCAGAGTGGATTACAGCTAAGTGAACAGTTTCCAAAAACTGAAATCGCACACACTCAGGTGCAAATGAATTATGTAGGACGTCCCAAAAATTAGCAAATTATACACCTGAAATACATTTTATAAATTCATAGACAAATCTCTAAACATTTTAAATTGGGCATGCCAGTGGGTGACAGTCATATTCTCCAGTACTAACTACTTCAAACTATTAAATCATACAACCTCAAAGCACAATGAACTGAATTCAGTTCTACACTGTATAAAAAGTTTAAAATAGTAACCTCTAACTTTTTAATACCTGCTTTATTTCTCAGGAGACATCTGATTCTGACCCTATGGGTTTCTCCCCCCTCTTCCTCCAAAAAGGACCACAGTGAAAGACAAATTCCACTTAAACCATAGAGCAGTGGCTTAAACTTTTAAAAAATGTCTGGAGGCTTTTTTGACAGAACAGCTGGATGAAACAATTTTGCAGAATAGGAGCGTTCCCCTATTTAAAATGTTATAAGACTTCAAGCTACCACCTAAGGATTCATCACTTATATTTCAGGTGTGTGAATGACAAAGCCTTAGGAGGTCTAAACCACTATATGTAAGTCCATTCTCCTTGCCAGAAGCAATTATTGAAAACAGGACTTTCAAGGAGTGTTTGCTTATGTAATAGAAATGAGTAAAACAAATTAAAATCAGAAGAAAAAAATCAAACTATTTGGTACCTAAAAATGTAGGCAGTATATAAGTGTTGAGAAAGAGAAGCTTTAGAATAGATGCACCGGTAGACACATTTATGGCTATGGAAAACCTGTAAAAGACTCACTGTCAGACCTTATTCTGCTAATAATTCAATAAAATAGGCAAGAAAAAAATCACAGTGCAAAGAGGTTCTATGTCAGAGCTCAAAATTCCACTGACATAGATTCAGGGAGTTTAAAGACAAACAGGATAATTCAATAACTACGGTATGTACAGAAAAGAGAAGCAATGGAAAAAATGAATGTTTTTAAAGAATCATGTGCCATTATTAGGATGAAAAGGGCATATAGGTAGGTCCCATTAGACAAGATTGAGCTACATTCATTAACAGTGAAATAGGGGGAAAATTTACAAAGAAACCATAAATGCAGCAGGATCAAATTCTCTTAGAAGACAAAAAATGATTGTTCCTCTATAGCAAAAACCCCAGGAACTCTAACTTCTTTTCTAGAAAAGGATGAGATTAGTAAAAAGGAAAAAAAAGAATCAGGAGAATGAAACAAGGAGAAAAATGTGAAACTGATACAGTACCTTTCACTTTATTTAATAAATAACCTCATGAACCAAACCCTTTGAAAGTAATGAAAATTTCATCCTCTGTTTCGGTCACATTACACTGCCTTAGGGCAGATACTATCAGATAATTTGATTACCAGCCACACAGACTTCCATTTAATTGATAAAGGTCTGATTCACCAAAATACATAAAGATATCCTCAAGTCCATCCCTGTTCAGGAAAGCACTTATGTGCTTAAATTTAAGGGCATGATTAAATGCCATGAAAATCAATAAGCACATGCTTAAATTATTTCCTGAATTGGGGCCTAAATGAGTTTAAATTTCTGAATGAAATCAAGGAAGAAAGAAGAACTGTCACAACAAAACACACACCATGTAGATATTGTTATCAATAGACACAGGTAGGCTGTACAAGTTGTGATATGCCCTCTAGTGGTCACTCTGAGAACCAGCAGCTTATTTATATTGTATTTAGGACAAAATAAGAATGAGGTGGATGGAAATAAACTGAAAACATCCAACATAAATTTTCCGGATGGATTTTTAATCAGTATTCAACCAATCATGATAGAGAACTTAGGTTCAGTCAATAGACCTAAGGAAAAAAGGTCATAGTACTTGAGTAGTCAGAGTTATTAAAAATACTAAATAAAAAATTGGTTATATATTTGATATAAACAAAAAAAGATCTTAGAGTAAGGGATGTCTTCTGCACTATCCTTCTGATACTTGTAGCAAAAAAAAAAAGGGAATATGAATTAAAATTCCATCTTAAATTTATCACAATGATGCATATGCAACATTTGCTAACTTCCGTGATTAATGTAAACTAAATTCCACATTACTACATCCTGAAGCTGAAGAGACTCCTATTTTATCAATGTGGAAAAAGAGAGATGCTTAAACTGTGCAACAAGTGACTGAATAAGAAGAATATTTTTATTGGTCTTTTCTACATCAGAACACTGTTCATTCTAAAGATAGGTCCACAAAACTTATGTCAAAATTTCCAGATATGAGTGTTTAAAGTTATGCACCTAAATTATATTTAGGCACTTGTAACTTCCACCATCATTTCTAGTAGGGAAGAAACAGACCGAAGTTTGAGAATTTTGGGTCAAGAGACTTTGCTACAGGTGCAGAGCTAAGGTTATTTGGACTCATCAGATGTGCAGGTCCATAGTTTCAAATGTTTGAAGTTCTTCAAAGAGTAACCTTAAACTTGAATGTCCTGAGTTTTAAACAGAGGATTTTTAATAACAAAAATGTTCTTGTACTTTTAGAATACACCTCTACCCTGATATAACGCGACCCAATATAACACAAATTCTGATATAACGCGGTAAAGCAGTGCTCCGGGGGGGCGGGGCTGCGCACTCCGGCAGATCAAAGCAAGTTCGCTATAACGCGGTTTCACCTATAATGCGGTAAGAATTTTTGGCTCCCGAGGACAGCGTTATATCGAGGTAGAGGTGTACTTACATGCTCTCCAGGTAAACCAAGTGTAGGTCTGGGAATTTACAGTGTACACAAGATTTTAAACACAATAAAATACTTTATTCAAAAGAAAAATACTTGACATTGGTATTCTAACAGAATTTAAGGGTTGCTGCAATATAATAAATGACTGTGGGTTGATTAGCAGGGAAATCCTCTATGATACAAGTGTAAATTAGTTATTAAAGACATGCTATCAAAATTATTCTACGTACAGTCTTTAAAACTAAAGATTGTTTTTGCTATCTATTTTCCAAAAAGGACTGAATGTTTTAAAACAGCTGAAAACAAACCAGGAATTAAAAATAGTAAATTATTGCTTTATTATCAGAATTTCAATGTAACCTGGTGCAATTTGGTATGCCTGCCAGAGTTCTGATTGTGATTTAATTATATTTCAAATGCTGGCGGCAGAATAGGAATTTATTCGCTGTTAGATAAACCACCGCTCGTAGGCCTGTGTCACTTTTGATGCATGAGTGGACCCACTTAATAGAATGCACAATTTTATGGCTATATAAATTAAAATGCAGTTGTCAGTGGCCTACTTGATTTATGATTTAATATTCATCTCAGTGAAGAGTTAGATTTAAAGAGTTAGATATAAAATACAAGAACTTTCAAGTTGTGGCTTTAGCCTACATTTTATTCAATTTAATACTTCTGGAAGAACCTGAAGAGCAGCTCTGTGTAAGCTTGAAAGCTTGTCTCTCTCACCAACAGAAGCTGGTCCAATAAAAGATATCTCACTTACCTTGTCTCTCTAAAGTACTAACTAGCAGATAAACACAAGTTTTAACATATCTAACTGACTGTGCGTTTATTACATAAAAAGGTATAAAGATGGGTAATACAGGTTTGAACACTGCTGGTGGTGGTAATCATGAGGTAGGAGAGTGTCATTTAAACCTCTAAAGCTAGGACTAACTAAATAAATAAATCCCACTATAAGTTATCACTAGTTCATCTTCGTCCACGATACCAACAGTGTGAGTGGCCACTGACCTTTTCAGTACACATCATGTAGGGCTGCTCAGGATAGGTACACCATCACTGTCCTTAAAGTACAAAGGCCACCTGTGACTTGTTTATAACCATGCACACATCACTCCCATGGGTGGAGCTAACCAGTGGTAAGAAGGGTGGGAAAATCTGGGAGGAACGTTTATAAGCCAACCCCCCCAAAATGGATAGGTAAAAATAGCAAAAACTGTATGACCCTTTCATAAACCGACCCTATATTTCAGGGGTGGGAAAGCTTTGGCTCCCAGCCTGTCAGGGTAAGTCGCTGGCGGGTTGGGACGTTTTGTTTACCTGGAGCGTTCACAGGCACGGAGCCCCTCAGCTCCCAGTGCCTGTGGTTTGCTGTTCCCAGCCAATGGGAGCTGCGGGAAGTGGCGCCACTTCCCGCAGCTCCGATTGGCTGGGAACAGCAAACCGCGGCCACAGGGAGCCAAGGGGTAGCAGGGGTAATGGCAGTGGAGGCATGGCTGAGCCGTGCAGAGTACATAGAAATCCACTTTGAACCAGTGGGTTTCTACTAGGCATGCCTCTGTTCCTGCTACCAGTGCGACTGTGGCTACGCTGCTATTTATACTCACGCTAGCTCAATGAGAGCTAGCGCGAGTATGTGTACATGAGCAGGAGAATCACACCCCTACCTCATAGTGTAGACATAGCCGGAGTCAAAATAATGCAGTGCCACAACCCAAGCATCTCAATATAAGAAGTCATGATTGTCTGATTTAGTCTGTGGCCATATCCGGCTGTTCAGTGACAAAGTGGTTTTTCAGTTCCTTTGCGGCGGAATACCACAGAAGTAGAGATAAAGAGAGCACGTGAGCTGCATTTACCTGCAAATTGTAATCTTGGAGAATTTTCACCAGTGAATCTCTCAGATTAGGAATCTCCATGCCTTCCTTAATGCGGTGAATCAGAAGAATGGGGTCAACGTGGGTACCAATGTTGTTTAACAAGCCAGTAATAAAAGCTGTATAAAAAAAGATGTAAAAAAGTTGTAAGATGAAGCCCCATTAAAATGCCCAATACTAGAGTGCTGTGATAACAGCCAATAGCCTTCTGCTGATTTTATGACAGCTCTTTCCTTAAAAGGCAATGTTAAGTCACATTCATATATTTCTTGCATACATCTCTCGAGTCAGGAAAGAGGACATACTGTGATTGGCTGATTAACACAAAAGTCTTTGAGTCTCTGAAAAGGAAACCCAGAGTATTTAATTGGCCAAATCTTCAAAAGACAACAAAAATAACACGCAAATTTGAAATTATAGTGTGCCCATAGCTGAATGTTTTGGGCACCTGAACACATTGAACCAGAAGGTTAATTTCAATGCATGTTTTCTTTGGAAGCATGGGATAAAGAATTAAATATTTTTCAAGCACTTCTCTGAACCTCAAGTAGGCTTTTCCCACAGGCGTGAAATGCTGTTTCATGCAGTGCTGAGGACGGCCTTTTGCTCCACCCCCTTTACTTTTTGGCCAATCAGCTACCCAGATGGAGCTCTGGGAAGGAGAGCAATTCAAGATCTAGCATCTTCCCTCTGCCCAGGAATTGTGCAGGTCCACTTGAGTGGCTGTGTACATAGGCAAAGGGGGCTGGTAGAATTCCCAAGGTGATGTGGGGCCTTTTTCTCCACTTGCTCAGGTGTTTAACTCATGAACATTTCATCTTGAAAACCTCTCTCTCCTCAGTAATTAGTAACATGCTTGATGATGGTTTTCTGCCCATCAAGTATTGGACTTGAGAACACGAAACTCATCTCTTGTAGGTTAAGAAATGGTAATGATTTCTGGTTACCTGGTACTGGTCTGAATTAGTGGCCAAGTGGTGAAAAGCTCTGCATCCCAACAGTAATCTCATGAGACATTCAGTGCCTGGGAAAAGGGGTGCCTAATCAAGATAGTTTTATAGCCTTGGCTTTAGAAATTCCAAAAGAGGACACAATCATATATTGTAGGTAGCTTTAAAGATTCCCCAAGTGATTTAAATTCCCAATGATATATTCTTTCCTGAATCCGCTCTCTAATAAAAAATGTTATTGTGTTGACATTCTGTCAGTAACCTAGCTGAGCTGTAAACCCAGAGCAGATGCTCAGGCCAGGGCAAATGGGAAAAAAAAACCCCACAAAATAATATTAAAAGATCTTTTGTTTTCACCAAAGTAAAGAATTCAACACATTTAATCTGGTGAAAGAGCAGAAAGATCTAGGCTGATCTTTATTTTCAGAAATTTGCAAAGTGACACATACACTATATGAAAACTTATACAATAGCTCAAACTTTCTGTCAATGTAGCCTGAAGATCAACTTTTCAGAAGGTATAAAAATATACCCTCACTTCAAACCAATTTAAAAGTAATATAATATTTCATGAATTTCTGTAGGTAACAATACACTTACTAAAAGTTGTAGGATGACATCAGATGCTTAAATACTTGCCCTTTCTCACCTCCAGATACTGCAATAGTAGAGGACTTTTTCCTCAGCATGCCAATATTAAAAATGATTACATTGCAATACAACCTCTTGCACTAGGTAACCTGGCATGGCTCCAAAAAGAATCAGAACATATTCTTTTTGCCATGCACAGGGATAATTCAACTCCCCCTCCCCCTAAGCTTACTGCATTTCACCAAACATACATACAAAGCTGCCTGGAGCTTATTCTGCTTACGTGGTTTGTCGATAGAATATAAAATGAGGTCTTCCCATAGTTCTCCATCATCTTGTTCCTTGGCAAATTCAATAGCTTTATCTACATCATACAATTCTTCCATTATCATCTTCAGTGCACTACGGCTATTCCCCATTCTGCCTAGAAGAAAAAAGGAATACGGGAATTATAAAAACACAAAAGAAAAATGTGCAGAAAGCACCCTGTGATAAACATCTGTACTGTTTATACTGTTCCTGGTTCACGAACAAGAGGGTGAAGTCTGAGACCCCAATTCAGCCAAGCACTTAAGCACAGGCTCATTTTAACCACATACTCAAGTCCCTCATTATTCAATAATGTATTTAAGCATGTGCTTAATTAAAGCCTCTGCTCAAGTCCCATTACAGTAAATAGGGTTGTAGCACATGCTTTAGTGCTTTGATGAATCTGGGCCTTAAAATGTTGTTATAACTATACAGAGGTAGGTTAAGCAAAGTGATGTTAATTCTCTCTCTCCTGCACTGCAGGTACATCTGAGGCTGAATAAGTCTAATTTTATTATATACATATACACACATATATATACATACACACACAAACACACACACTTTCTCTTTAAGTGGACCTCATCTTCCAAAGATGCTGAACATTCATAGCTGCAATGACTATAAAATACTTGGATTACAGTGGACTGAACCATCTCTTGTATTGAGTAAACCTATTAGTTCTTTTCTGAAACCAAGAGTTCCTCCACACTTCCAACATACATACAGAACATTTTTCATATTAAATGAGACCCATGAGGTAAATTTCCTGTTCTATTGTCAGTTCTGCCCACCACAGCTTTAATACACACAGACTCCAGGGCTGTATGTTACAATTCCTCTCATCCTGAAGAGGGTTCCCCACCCTGCTGAGAGAATTACATTACACGATAGAGTACTTTAAAAAAAAAAAATATATATATATATATATATATATATATATATATATAAACAAAACAAAAGTCCAGTTTTCTTGCAGGATGGGTGGAATTTGAAGTTCCAAGACTGTAAGCAAAATTGGAACAAGCTTGGGGGTGGGGGGGGCACATGGCTGGGGGGCGGAGGGGGTCGCTGCCAGCTTCAACCCCGCTCTGCTCCCAGCTGAGGCTCACAGACCCCCAGGGGGCTACGGACCCACAGTTGAGAACCACTGCTCTATCATATCCTCCCTTAGTCATCTCTTTTCGAAGATGAACAGTCCCAGTCTTTTTACTCTCCCCTCATATGGAGGCTGCTCCATACCCCTCACTTTAATGTATCTATTTTGACATGGGGTGACAAGAACTGCACATAGTTTTCATGAAGTCGGTTTACCAGGGATTTATATAGTGGTATTATGATATTTTCTGTCTTATCTATCCCTTCCTAATGTCTCCTACCATTCTGCTAGCTTTAACTGCCACTGCACCTTGAGCAGATGTTTTCAGAGAACTATCCATGATGACTCCAAAGATATGCCTACACTACCCGCCGGATCGGCGGGCAGCAATCAATCCAGCGGGGATCGATTTATCGCATCTAGTCTAGATGCGATAAATCGACCCCCAAACGTTTTCCCGTCGACTCCTGTACTCCAGTGCCGCAAGCGGCGCAGGCAGAATCAACAGAGGAGCGGCAGCAATCGACTCACTGCGGTGAAGACACCATGGTAAGTTGATCTAAGTAAGTCGACTTCAGCTATGTTATTCACATAGCTGAAGTTGTGTAACTTAGATCCATCTCCTCCCCAGTGTAGACCACGGACAAGATGTCTTTCTTGAGTGGTAACAGCTAATTTAGACCCCATCTTTTTGTTAGTATAGTTGGGATTATATTTGTGCATTGCATTTATCAACACTGAATTTCATCTGCCACTTTGTTGCCCAGTCACCCAGTTTTGTTAGATTGCTTTGTAACTCTTCACAGTCTGCTTTGGTACTATCTTGTAAGTTTTATCATCTTAAACTTTGCCATCTTAATGTTCACCCTGTTTTCCAAATCATTTATGAATTTGCTGAACAGCACAGGTCCCAGTACAGACCCTTGGGGGACCTCACTGTTTACCTCTCTCCTTTGTGAAAACTATTTATTTCTACCCCTTGTTTCCTATCTACCAGTTATTGATCCATGAGAGACCTTTCCTCTTATCCCACAAATCCTTACTCCCACCAAGGTCCTTTGGTGACCTTGTCAAAGGCATTCTAAAAATCCAAGTACACTATACCCATCAGATCACCTTTCTCCACGTTTGTTGACCCCCTCAAAGAATTTTAATAGATTGGTGAAGCATGACTTCCCTTTACAAAAGCTGCATTAACTCTTCCCCTACATATTATGTTCCTCTACGTGTCTGATAATTCTGTTCTTTACTATAGTTTCAAACAACTTCCCTGATATTGAAGTTAGGCTAACTGGCCTATAATTGCCAGGATTGCTTCTGGAGCCTTTTTAAAAATCAATGTTACATTAGCTATCCTCCAGTCCTCTGGTACAAGGCTGACTTAAGTGAGACGTTACATACCACAGCTATTAAGCTCTGCAATTTCATATGTGAATTTTTTCCGAACTTTTGGGTGAATACCATCTGGTCCTGATGACTTCTTACTGTTTAAATTTAATCAATTTGTTCCACAACTTCCTCTATTGACACTTGAATCTAGCACGATTCCTCAGATTTATCCTAAAAAGCTAAAAAGGATGGCTCAGGTGTGGGAATCTCCCTCACATCCTCTGCAATGAAAACTGGTGCGAAGAATTCATTTAGCTTCTCTGCAATGAGGCTATCTTCCTTGAGTGCTCCCTCAGCACGTTGATCATCAAGTGGCTCCACTGATCGTTTCATAGGCTTCCTGCTTCTGATGTACTTGAAGTTACATGCTTCTGTGGTGGGCTTCTTTGGTATTTTCCCCCTTACAAGGATGTTAAATTTAAATATATTTTGGTTGCTACTACCTAATGGTTCAGCTATCTTTACCTCTTGGACCCAATCCTCTGCTCCACTTAGGACTAAATAAAAAATTGCCTGTCTCCTGGTAGGAGATAGATATGTAAAGTAGTTTTATTGACTACACACCAACTTTGTTTCTGGGAGAAAAAGTTTGTTAAATCACAGGACTTAATGCTTTGTGCATTCTTTCACAGCACAAACTTTATGACAAGATTAAAATTATGTTGCAATTTATTACAACGAAAGTTACTTACTCAGAAGATAGACGGTCTCTTCTACAAAGTTCCTCTGTTGGCAGATCTCAAGAGCCTTAAATTTCAGAGGGGAAAAAGAGAATATGGGGTACCATGCCATAATATTTATTATCAACAAATGTTACAAAGGCCAAAAGATACTTTTCTATAAAGATGCATTACTCATCTGGACAAGAGAACAGCTCCATTAATATACATTGGCAAAGCCTTCAGAATTAATTAAAAGAAGAGACTTTTTGGCACATCTTTCCCTTTGATTTTTTTTCATTTATCTGGAGGTGGAAAGGGTAGGGTTCTTAATGCTATAGTTTGGGTTATACCCAGGACTCAGACTGACGAACATCCTCAGGGCTCACATTCCTGGGGCAAGCAAGGACCATATGCAACAGATTACAGGAGGGATTTTCACCTTTTTTTTCTCCATAGCATGGATCACATCTTAGTATCACATCTTCCATTTCAATCATATCTTAGAATCACATCTTCCATTCCAATCACATAACATCCTAAAGGCAACTACAGTAATGGCTTACATGGAAAAGTAATACTAAAAATATTGTAGCTGCTTTTATGTGATTTAGCAGCTGGACACAAGTAAGAGATTCTGTACCATATGACCAGCAAACTCTCCACCAATGTTCCAAGTTTGGGAACTACAGGCCATTGGGAAGAAAGGTTCTGGCCAGAGGACACTCACTCCTGGCCAACTAACAGAGAAAGTAGCTCCTCCTCTTCCACATCCTGAACTGGAGAAAGTCACCCTGAAACTAGTCAGCAGGCAGAATGAAGAGACCAACATTTGTAGGTACTCTAAATAAGTTACATATAGTACAAAGAGAAAGGATGGGGAAGAAGGCAAAAGAGGAAACATATCAAGTGATCTGTATTAACAGACTAAGCCATAATAAGAGTCAAGTTTTTGAAAATGAGGTTTTCTTTCACTCACACAGGGAAAGTAGGGCAAAGGTTAGAAGATATATTAGTAGGCGTTTATTCAGACATCAGTAAGATCAGAGGATGAAAATCAACATCTCTGTGGTGGTACCATGGTGCAGCAATGCTGATCTCAATGGAGCTACGCCAATTTATACCAGTAGGGAATTTGATTCATGGAGATCAAAAGGAGAATGATACATGATTAAAGACAGATACAGGGGTGGACTTAGTCTCCCTCCCCCTCTCACATAGCTCTGTATGGATTGAAACAGAACAGAGAGAAACCGACCTCCTGTCACACTCAAAGTCAGACCAAGAAGTTCTCCACACTATCTACAGATAAAAACCCAAATAAACAAGTGAATAAGGGTATAAACACAGCTAACCAGTCTTTTTACACTGTGAAAGGAAACATAAGGTAAAAATAGCCAGGTCTTCAATATTACTGCATCTATAATGCTCCCTGTAGAGGGAAGCAGAGAACGTAAATTCTTCTCTTGCAGTTTCTCCGATACTACATCTGTGAAATTGCACTTGAATAATAGTGCTATTTTCTCCTCTCAGATAGGTTTTTAAGTAAGAAAATAATTTCTTCCTGGCCAGTTTACCATTGATTGATAGTGAGAGACTGGATTTATGCATCTATAATATGGGTCTATGGAATTTATACAGGACATCTGGTTAATTGGAGCGGAAAACATTGGTAAATTGTAAATTTTTGTTCCTCATTATTTCTCAGCAGTGTGAAGGGCTAGAGTGATGGTAAATTCAATAATGTTATTTGTAAACTGCTTTGGCAATTTTTCTCTTTTCCCTCTCCACTTTCTTATTGAAAATGTATTTAGTAAATGTAAACAAGATCTGTGGAGTTTAAGGGACTTTCATTCGAACGTAGTGTTCTTTTCTCACGCTTAAAATCCACTCTTGCACTGCCCATTCCACGATCTTCCCAAGCCACACCGTGCTCCACCTGCAGCCAAGAAGCAGAGCAAAATGGCTGCAGTTGTGCATCTGCAAAATTTGTGCACACCGTTTTTTTGCAGCATCACTTGTGCATACAGGGGATAGAATATACATGAACAAAAAGTCATTTGCCCCAAAAAACTGAAGCACAAATGGGTCTTGCACATTCTATGAATGTAAATTCTATCATTTGTATCTGTAAGTGGTGGTGCACAAAATCATATGTGAAAATGATTTGTTTGCATACAAATGGAAGCTCAGTTGTAGCCCACTCAAAAATTCATGCTAAAGTATTGAAGAACTACAGCACCTAACAAATAGAACTTCACAGACAGATCCAGGACTCCGGCAATAATGCACCAGGCCGTGACAGACCTAAAAGAACAGTTAGGTTTTTTAAAAATTATTTAAATTTCATTTATTTTGTATCCTAAGGCACTTCATGACCTTCAGACAGAAGACCATATTATGAGTGTAATTAGTCTTCTAGATTGACAAACAAGTCTGAGACAACCTAATGTGGCATTTTTTGTGTAACAACAACTTCAACCAACTCTACAGTGCTGCTACTCTAAGGGCTTGTCTTCACTACCGGGGTAAGTCAACCTAAGTTACATTATTCACATAGCTTATTAGTGTAACTGGAGTCAACGTAGCTTAGGTCGACTTACCCCAGTGTCTTCACTGCGCTGCGTCAACAGGAGATGCTCTCCGGTTGACTTATCTTACTCTTCTCGGGGAGCTGGAGTACTGGAGTCGACCAGAGTGTGCTCTGTTGTCAATTTAGCGGGTCTTCATTAGACCCACTAAATTGACACCTGTTGCATCGATTGCAGCAGTGTCCATCTCCCCGGTAGCGAAGAAAAGCCCTGAGAGAACATTTCCCAAAGTCTCTGATGCGAAGGAAGGAAAGAGTGTTGTTTGTTACACAAAAAGTAAAGCAAGTACAGCACTGGCTTATGAGTTTATAATGTCAATTAAATGAAAGGAGAACTCGTAAAATATTTTGCTTAAAAATGTACAGATAATGTAATCATTACGTCTACACACGCTGAGGGTAGGGGTACCAGATGTCCTGATTTCATAGGGACAGTATCGAAAAATCAAGGCTGCGTCTTATACAAGCGCCTATTACCTCCCAACCCATCCCAATTTTTCATACTTGCTATCTGGTCACCCTAGTTGAGGGCCACTTTAGGGATAGGTGACCTGGGCAACCATTCAGGACCTCAAACACAAAGGACGAAATCCTTGCCCCATTGAAGTCAATGGGAGGTGTTATAGGTGAATTGGTCCACAATTTCCCTTGAGGGAGTGGAAATGATTAAGAACTCGGTACCATGATGGAAATATGGTCAAGTAGTTAAAGCACAGGATGAGGAGTTAGAAGATCTTGGTTTTGTTTCAGGCTCTCCCAGTTAGACAAAGCAACACTGATTAAGGTACTTAAAAGCTACCTGGGTCTCTGTAGTATGAGGATAAAAAGTACTTACCCACCTCAGAGAGTGTTCTGTGGTTTTGTTCATGCATATTTTTGTAAAGTATTTTAGAATTCTCAGACAGAAAACGCTACAGAAATGCAAAGTAATATTACATATATAACCATACTATCTGGCCTTGAATTGAATTATCACTTGTTTGACCTTCTTGTTAAAGAAAAGCTTGCTGATCCCTTTTAAATGGAATATAGTATTGTGTATGCTACTTTACCTTTTGTGAAATAATAAGAAAAATATGACAGAGGAGATCAGAGACTCAAACTGTTATGATTGTTATGGACATATGTATTTTTATACATCTTCTAAAGCAAAGATTATATAAACATGAATTTTCTCAAACATGGTTTATTACCCAAAATAGACCTTAACAATCCCTTCTGAAGGAGCATTTATAATTTAAATCCACATTCAGAGTATGTTATAAAAATTCAGACCATTTTACATGGTGAAATGGTTCATCTGGCATTCTTAGAACTCTTGTGCCAGTTATTTTCCTATGAAATTTTTTCCCCCTTAACAGCTAGACGTAAAGGATAATTATGAAATTAGCGTAATAGACTTCAGTAAACTCTTGAGCCTGGATGCAATACATGGGAACCAGAATCAACAACAGAGTAACACTGAGTCTTATGCCCAAGGCTATATCCTTCTGTAGGCAGATTAGCATAACAAGGGTTTATTGTTGTACTGTATTTAATTGTATGCAATAAAATTATTTGTTTGAATTTTGTAAAACTAGTTGCAGCCATTGTACACCTACATGTGTCTGCAAAGTTTTTGTGTATTCATGATCACTGCACCTACAACCATGAAATACTTGTGAATCATATGTTGTACATTATACAAAGTCAACTATAAAACTATAGGTGAAATCTGAATCTCAGATGCTTATCTCAAAAATAAGGCAATATGTGCATGACATCATGATAAAAATCTGGCCCTATGAAGATGCTGCTGATATAAATCAAACTGGAGAAAAAAAAATTATTAGGGGCGCTCACAATTTTTAACTCTACTTCAGGGAATCTGTTCAAAATTAATTTAGCAAGAGATTTTTTTCTTCAAACTTCTTTCTCTAAAATAAATAATGATACACTGAGTCATAATGGAACAACAATTACTTGCACTCATTATAAGCAGGGCTGGTAGCTCAGCCTATTTATTGAGGTTGCTCAACACTTCCCAAGACCCTGTTTTGCTTATAATTTTATAAATTTGCTTTGCCAAATTTAACAGCTTGGGCTGAAATTTCCCATAATTATTTTTTTTTTTTAATTTCAGCCAAAATGATTCAGCCAAGATCAAGGTTTTGGAAAAATGTTGTTTTGCCCATGTTAAAAATTCTAGCAATCTTTTCTTTAAAATACTCTAGAGGCCCCATACTTTGAAGCAAGGACTTGAAATTTGGCACGAGAGTGACCTTTGTGTTACGGACGTGCCTTTTGCCATCCCAATGAAAATATGACCATATTTGGCTAAATTAATTATAAGCCCTTGAAAAACTGCTGTTCGCACATGCTCAATAGAGACTTGCTAGAGCTTCACAGCTAAACAGCTAAACACTGGGCATGCCCCAGCCCAGGGTAGAGAAGGACGTCACCTGCAACTGCAGCTCTAGACTGCTGCAGGCCATGCTAGGGCTGAGCACAGGAACTGAGAGCAGGGAACCTACCTCTCTGTGCTGTCAATGACCCCCTTGCTATGCCCAAGCAGTGCAAAGGCAGAGGGGGAGAAGAACCAAATGGAGCGGGGGCAGAGAAGTTGGATAAGGACCATCAGGGGGGAATGTATGACTGGGACTGGACACTGTCAGGGGGTGAGGAGAAAATGGGGAACTGGGAGTTGGGAAGGGGAGGTGACTGGGACTGACTGGGCAAAGTCAGGATGGGAAAAGACTGGGACCAAGAGCTGCAGGGGTCCAGAGAATTCACTGATTTTAATGTCAGAAGGGACCATTAGATAATCTAGTCTGACCTCAGAAGACACTGGAATGGCTGGGCAAGAACGGGAATCAATGTGAGGTGTTACTTTGGCCCTGGTCCTGTAAACTCGTGTGCACACATATAACTTTACACACATCAGAAGTCTCATTTATTTTAATGGGATTCCTCAAATGAGTAAAGTTGCTCACATGCATAACTGCTTGCAGGATCAGGGCCTTTGTGGCATTAGTTATATCATATCTTATCTTTTCTCTGTGGCTCACTTGGCTGATTTGTAAAATGAGTGCAGTACTTGTCTACTTCATACGTATACTAGCATCTGAAAGCCCATGCTGTCACAGCAATAAAACTAAGCCCTAAACTTTGCAATATGATTCTTGATTTCTTACTACAAGCCAGAGCTACATAATGACTGTACACAGGCCAACAGCTAAACTATATATATATTCAGCATGGAAAACAGAACTCAGGACCTTCTACTTCAAAAAAATATAAGCTTCTGTTTCTTGAGTACTGGAGAACTCTGTCATTTGTAAAAAAGCCAAAAATGGCTGACAAAAAATTGGTAACAGCTCTATTAGCTGTTAGTATCTTGAGCAGTTCTCTTTTGATCCAGTAGAGGGCAGTGGCACACACATTAACAAATTTGCAATACAGCAAGCGGCTGACATACCAAGCCAAGAAAGACATCTCTTAGATCTCTGGCTTACCTTCTCTAGCGGACAATGTGTGCTGTCTCTGAGAAACGGCAGCAGGTTTGGACGATCGTATTCAGCGTAGAGACTGATCTGTTTCTCGTGGTACCTCTGTCCTTTATGATGGTCTCTTTTGAAAAGCTTATGCAAATACTGCATGAACAAAAAGTATCAGAACCAAATAGTCATAAAATAATGGCTACCCTGTGAAACTTTCACCACAAACCAACCTTCTTAGTAACTTCCTTGAGACTGAACCAAAAAGTGCATTTCAGGATAGAATACAAATCTTTAGGTTTTTCGTACAGTACCTCCATTATAGCTGTATCCCAGGCCAGCTCTGCTAAGCAACTATTTCTGTCAGTACTTTGAGATAGGTGCTTTCTTTGTTACTCAGTATGACATTCTTTAATTCATAAAATTATTGCATTTTCTATTTCACCAAAAACCTAGGAGAAAAACATTATGGGAAGCTTTCTATTTTTCTAGATAAGCTCAATTGATTGGATGACCATGGGTCAAGTTTTGCGAGAGAGATCAAATGAAAAATACAGCATGCATGTAATGTGTAAAGCATTAAATAAGGTACTTCAAACTATAAATTAACTGCAAGTAGTAGAATGTGTGACGCTCCTCCCCTCTGGAAAACAGGAATTATGAGAGGATTACTTTAAAAGTTATTTTTAGTCAAAGGGAAGCAGACACAATACTTTGAAACTGATGCAGCCTCTTAGCTGTTGGGCATGCAGTTAATCCTCTTTGCTTTATAAGGCTCTCTGACAGCAAACTACACTTAATACATGTGTCTGCTATAATTAGATCTCCATTATACAACTCAGTTGACCCCATCAGGTTAAAGCTTTGACCCCCTCCTATCTAAAGCAGCAACGGTTGCTAAACAGGACAAGCTTCTCTCCCTAATACAGTTTAAGGTTGATGATGTAGTTCTGCATGAAATAAGTCATATGCTTTATGGAAGTTATTGCTCTGGAAATCCAAATGGTTCACTTTTTCTATCAAGCAGGGAAATGCATCTGTAAATTACACCCATATTCCACTGTATTAGCTGGAAGGAAAGCATCACGCTGGGCAACACTTCTACTGTAAAGATGGGAGGAGGGATGAAAGGGAAAAAGTAACTGACAGCAAAACTGGGCTGCTTTACAATCCAGAACCATAGGTGATGGCCCTCAATATGGCATCAGGAGGGTAGAAGAATTCATTAAAAAAAAATTAAAAAAAATCATTTTACTGTTCTACAAATGTCTTTAGGTCAAAGTTAAAGTAGAATGGTCGGAGGAGCCAATCTGTGTCTCATCCACTCATGTAGCTGATCACTGGCTAAAAGACTTCAATGTTGTGTACCTTTATTCCCTGCTACTGCAGTAGGAGATGGATCTGCATATCAACAGCTAACTGTATTTATAAAGGTATGCCAAGAGAGAGCTCCAGCAGAAAGTTTATTCAGCTCAAAAATAAACAGCAAACACTAATATTTACCACATGCTGTAACTCAGGTCTGTTTTCTAATTCTTCTACAACTCTGTCGATCTAAAAAAAAAAAAAGGAAAAAAAAACAAGGGTTAGGAACCCTGAGACAGTTATCTCACCTACAGAACAGAAAGGAAGACATGTGTAGTGCAGACAGTCAGCTGATGACAACTCAATGAAGTGTTTATACTCACTGAAATTTTATCTTCATTATCCAATAGCATGTCCACTGCTTTCTGTAAACCAAGTAAAAGGAGCTCAGCTAAGAATGGGTATGCAAAAGCAGCATATGATATCCAGAAAGACTCTTACTGACCATCTGGATATTGTAGACACACACTTTTCATTTGCATTCATTTGGATGGCAGTCTGCAAAATGCCAGTATTTAAAGGGAGAAATTAATTTACTTCAAACTGGAATTTATCAAATATTCCGCAGAATACTTTTCATAAGCTCCTGCATTCAATGGAAGTCAATATTACATGCATGTCAAGTATGCCCATCCCATCATGGGCCCCAGAAGACTGCAGCCCTATGTAGCAGAACCATTGTAGTAACACTGCAAAGGGACAAGTTGGCTACAGATAAGATATGTATAGGAAATCCACACCCCAGTATGGCATGCAGGGGCACAGAATGCATATGGCCCGCATATTTCTGTGCCCCCCGCTCACAAAACCCCAAAAGAAATCTGTGGGGGGACACGCGTCTCTTCACCGCCAGCCCAGGCAGCGGGTCTGTTCCAGCGTGCTTGGAGCAGCTTCAGAGATGCAAATCACTGCGGGGGCTGGGTGTGCGTGCCTGCGGGAGAGACGTTGATCACCATCAGGGGGCGGGGCTGGCCAACAAGCAATAGAGACTCTGTCCCTCTCTCTTGATACTGCGGCTCAAGGGGCGTGGAGGAGGATAGATCTTTTTTGTTATGCAGGAACAAGGCTCTGTCCCCGAGGCAGAAATGTAGCAGCCTGACTGCCTAGTAAAATGTAACTTCTTGAGAATTGAAAAAAACACAATTAAATATTAGTATCATGTTACTGAAAATTGTTTGTTTTTAAGTTAAAGAAAAAAGCTTTTGTAAAAAACAAAAAAACAACCCCCCCCCCCACATTTTGTTAATGTTGTGGTTGATGGTTAATTGATCTCATTCTCTGAGGCAGAAATGTAGCAACCTGTCTACATAGTAACATTATTAATTATTCTACCGTTAGTTAACTGTTCTCAGTCACAGTCAATTTCCCCAGCAGCATAAAAACCTGTAAAAGTTTTAAGGCCCCTACCTTGCCAGAGCGATGTAAAGCCCTATAAATGACAGTAAGGGAATCAGCTAGGAAGATCTATGCACTTTCTCACTTTTTTTCCTGTGCCAAAGTGGCACAATGGGGTTAGATTTTTACGTACCCATTTTTTAAAAATAAAAGACTTTTGAGGGCAAATAAAACATTTACCAAGCAGTCAATAAAATGTCAGGACAGGCACTTCCCAAAGTACCCAGCTAGGTCCAGCACAATGATTAGCAAAACTGTATGACTTTCATGTGTGAAAGTCTGAGCAATTTAAAATGACATTCTAGTTTTTCCCCCCCATTTGGTGTTCTGTAATGTAATTTAAATGAAAATCCAGGATTATAACTGGAATGCAGGGTATTAGTTACCAAGTATTTGTAACTTAACTTTCATGTATTTAGGAAATGCTGAATAGTTATTGTGACTTTTTTCTGTCTTGTAGTTTAAGTAACTTACCAAAACAATTGAAACTGGTATGATTATATTGCATTATTTTGACAAATAAAATGTGAGGAATTTTGCAGAATTTTTAATTTTTTGGCACAGAATTTTTAATTTTTTGGTGCAGAATCCCCCCAAGAGTAAGGTGTGCTCCAGGCAGTGCTTAATTAGTAATGAAAGAGGTACTGGGGCTCAAGCCAGGGCTGATCCAGCAAACCCAGGGGTGCTGGGGCTATGAACTGCCAAGTCAAGAGGTGCCAGGGCTCAGTCCTGGCAAACCCTGGCACAAATTAACAGGATAACCTTACGTAGACCAGTGTATGGGCAGGCATGAACACATCAGGGGTGTGGCCAAATGGATCCAGTTTTGCTCCCCACCACCACCACAAAAGGAATAATCTCATGTCAATACCCTGATCTTCAGACATAACCTACTGTATCTCTCAAGTGAAATCATAGACCCACTGTACTTAAATACTTGTAAAGACAGCACACCAAGAATGATACCGAGCATACCAAAGTCTCTGTTTCAGCCTCAAGGCTACAGCAGCAACAACAAAGGGGCTGCAGATTCGGCCCATGGGTGGGGTAAATTCCATCCCCCAAAGCTCGTGTCATTCATTCATCAAGAAAAGTTCATCTGCCTGCATTCTAGCCAATTTCAAGGAAAGAATACTGACTTAGGTTGGGAATTAGGTTGATCACCTTGTACTTTTGCAAGCAAATTAGTCAGCTGCATACAAAGAAAAGTGGCAAGACTATCCAAAATGTGTGTGAGGTTAAATCCACTTCCCCAAATGTTTGTTGCTTTTTGGCTCGTTAACCTTCCTAATTTGATTGGAAACACAGCAATAATCTTACAGCAGTCAAAGCCCTGGGTGATGCTTTACAGGAGATCTGTGGCTGAAGGAAAAGCAGAATACAGAAGCCAATATCCACTATGGCATTTTGAGAGAAGGATTTTGTTCTCAGGGATGTATGATGTTATTTTTGTTTCCTGACTCCAGATGATGCAAATATAGTAAGTGCCTTCATGTCACCTCCCAATGTGTTTAGCCATAGTACACAATCCCACTTCTATAGCATTCTGTTTAACAGGCATTCAGTTCTAACTTGCTGAAATATTTATGGCTCAAAAAGAGATAAAGTATCATTAAAAATCATCATACCTCTGAATCAAAATCCATGAGTAGAACAATTTTGTCTCTGATAGAACTGAAAAGATTATGTTTATGGATCAACTGGAAAACATCTTTGTGTCTCAGTGTTAGGTAAATTTCAAGGGCTTTGCCATAGCGTTGGTCATAGGTGTATCTGAAAGAGATGACGTCATGACACACAAAGCCATCCACATTTGAAATTAAGAAAATCGTGCACTAGGATGAAAATGGACACGTTACTTGTTTCGAGGAACAAAAATGTTAATAGTTTAAATAATTCACTAAGAAAAAACATGGACAATATGATTTTCAACAGTTTATTAAACTAGTAGCCTGATGTGATTTTTGTTCCATCCCATTGCTCCCCTCCATCCAGAAAAGAGTTGCTAAGGATTGCAATCAATACATTTACACAGAGAAGCTGGAACAGAAAGTGGTTGATATTCCAAAAAATGGATGATGGTAATTTCAATCAAGGTAGGCAGTTTAAAATGCACTCACAATTCCGCAAGAGTTCTGAGCAAGGTCCTATTCTGTGGGTCTTTCTTCAGGTGATCCACTACTACTTGAACTATGATCGCATTGTTATAGAGATCTCCGGGCCACTCTTTTATCAGCATTGCGAAACCCTAAAAGTGGAAGTGATTATTGATTAACAGAAATAGAAAGAACTGCCTAAATAATATTTCAGAGCATCAAAGCCTCAGCTAGACTTCTAAAATGTCATCAGCCATTTTTCACCCACTTATGGGCATCCACAAAAATATGAAATTGAGGGTACAAGTTTTGTTTTTTTAGGCCCTGATCCTGGATAGACTTGTGAACATATTTAACTTTATGCACACAAGACTTTGTAGGATGAGCGACAGTTTCACCACCAGTATGCCAAGACAGAATTCTTCATGATGTACTAGGAGGCAGTCTACTTTGGACAAAACAGATAAATTTAAGTAATTAACATTGCTTTTAAATGTGGAATAACCAAAAAGATAAGGATAAACGGTGAGACTTCCACAGATATACTCTTACTGACAGTGACACCGAGTCCACATTTTTATGCAAAAAAGATAAGACCTTCATTTTTAAGGCCCACAGTGTACACACACATTCACTGAAAGCGTGCTCTGAAAAAAAATGATGTGCATATTTATGTGCACTTCTACTGGGATTTGTGCACATGCAGATTTCTGAAAAATGTAGTCCAACACAACGTCGTAAAACATTCCCTGACCCAGGCAGCTTCCCATGCAAGGTCTCTATCCCACAACTTGTTACACACAAGTGGATTGTATAGAGCCCTCTCCGTTGAAGTCAATGGGGCTCTGCATGGTCATAGCACTCCACACTGTATAATTAAGTTGCAGGATTGGGATGCAAGGGTCTGATCTTATGAGGGACTGAGTGCCCTCAGTTGAAGACAGTCAGCACCTCTCAAGGTCCAGCCCTATGACAGAATACTGTCATTACTAATACCATTTTAAATAATTGGCTGTAGTTAAATTGCTACCTTTCAGAATCATCAAACTACCTGGACTGAGACTGAAGAGATATTTTGATTACTTCCAGAATACACAAATCACAATGTGTGGGCCATTTACCATCCTTACCTTACCCTCTCATTCACCCTTTTCCACCACCTTTGTTTTTCATGTCTTCATAAATCATATCATGCCATTAGTTAGAGAGTAACCTCTTTTGGACTCTATATACTTTTGTGTTGTTAAACAAATGAATAATAATGATTATTATTAACCAGACACAATACTTTGGTCTCTAAACGAGGTGCACTGATAAGTATTTCAATGTTTATTGCAAACATTATTGGCTTTCATTCTTGCTTTGTTGTTAAACCTAGCATCAGTGCTCTATTTGACTACTGTAGAGTTGGCTACCAATTTTCTAAATTGCTCTTTAATGATATTCTAGTAAGGACTATTACACGTGGATGTGTCGGAACACAGTACCTCATAGTCACTCTCCAAAAACTCATGCAGGACCATTTCATAGATGAGAGGCTTCAGAATTGGATCCCGTCTTGGCAAATAACGGCTAATTGCCTACAGGGGGAAACAGAACAGCATGGCGTTAAAATAAATTATTGTGCTTAAATATCCTCAGACAGAATACACAAAAACGAATTCTTTCCCAACAATTTGAAGTATAAAAGCAAGAATAGCCCTTGGTAAACATTAAGAGTACTGTAAATTCAGATGTTAAGTAGTTTACCTTAAAATAGTCCTGATCTGGGTTCCATTACTCACTTGAAAGAATTTTCATGAGAAAAGATGTAGGTGAGATTGGAAATCTGCCCCGGTGTCACTAAGCTTTTCTTCATGTTACAACGGGGCAGTGTGTCACAGATGCATTTAACTGTTGAGTTAGTACTGAGGATTATCTCTGTATTGTTTTACAACTTTTGGGTACACGAGCCATCTAGTCCAACCTCATTGGCTTCAGCCATTTGAAAGGAAAATCCTATACGTTCAAGTTACGAGTTAGCACCTCAACAAAATCTACTTGACTAAATGTGCTACCATATTTACTGAAAGGGTATTAAAGCACTCATCTGGCACAATAAAGTAAACGTACTTTTCAAGGTATCATCTCATCTGTCCAAACAAAGCTTAAGCTGGGAATAAGTAAAAACAACCACCAAACAACTTGCAAAACTAAGCTATAACTTCAAAAATGGTTTTTCCATCAAACACTGAATAGAAGGGTTTGATCTGATGTCCTATAAAGGTATTAAGAAATTACATCCCAACAATCAAGAGACAGGAGCATGTTCCAGGGGTGAGATCAATTCACATCATGTAATTATAGCAGAGCATATTATTATGCACTACAGTTCTATCTAAACGTAAAGTGATATTATTATAGCAATAGGGTTTACATTAGCAGATTATCAGTGCACACTTTGGATGTGTTGTGACTGTGAGGCACATGGCTGAAGTACCAGAAAAGTTCACCTACAACCTGCTAAAACATCTGTTTAGGTACAGGTCAGAAAATGGGACACACATACACAATCAGGGACATTTTTTGATTACCATTTTTCATCAAAACTTAATTTTTGTTGCAATTCTCCAAACAGCACTAATGCTTATTTTGAGTTGATGGGACACTAGATGGGGATGGCTCTGAGTTACCACAGAGAATTCTTTCCTCGGTTTGGGTCTTTCCCACATGCTCAGGGTCTGATCATCATATTTGGGGTCAAAAAGGAATTTTCTATCTGGTCAGATGGGCAGAAACCATGAGGATTTTTCACCTTCCTCTCCAGTATGAGGCACGAGTCACTTGCAAGTTTAAACTAGTGTAAATGGTGGATACTCTGTAACTTAACGTCTTTAAATCATTATTTGAGGACGTCAGTAACTCAGCCAGAGATAAAGGGTCTATTACAGCAGTGGTTTTCAAACTGCGGGTCGTGACCCAGTATTGGGTCGCAGAATGTAAAGCACTGGGTCGCGGCGGCTCTGGTCAGCACCGCGACCGGGCTGTTAAAAGTCCCATCGGCTAAGGCAGGCTAGTCCTACCTGTTCTGACACTGCGCTGCGCCCCGGAATCGGCCAGCAGCAGGTCCAGCTCCTAGGCAGGGGGACCACGGGGCTCTGCGCGCTGTACCGGCTCCGCACTCCCATTGGCTGGGAACTGGTGCCTCCAGACAAGGCGGTAGCAATCAGGGGGCCCTGCAAAGCTTAGTTGCTCAGGCTTCGGCGTCAGCCCCAGGTGGCAGGGCTCGGGGACCTGGGCTTCAGCCCCATACAGCAGGGCTTCATCTTTCTGGCCGGGGCCCCAGCAAGTCTAATGCCAGCCCTGCTTGGCGGACCCCCTGAAACCAGCTCGCGGTCCCCAGTGGGCCCCGGATTCCTGGTTGAGAACCACTGTTCTAGATGACCTGTTTCCCAGTGGCCACTGGGAAATCCCACTTTCTTTTGGAAAATCTAAATTGGAAATATTAACTATAACAAATTAGGGCATCTTGCAGGATGGGAGCCCACACAGGCAAGCCCCAATACTCCCACAGAGACCCTTTGTAATAGAAAAGGGATCTGGAAGTAGCATGACAAAGCAGGTGTACTCGCCGTGGGGACTGGGAGGGGAGAGGCGATTTTAACTGCTCTTCTCATACTTCTATTCTGTTCTTTTCTATCCCTCAGCTGCCTCCTAAACAAGGGCTCTTAAAAACAAAAATAACTGATCTCAATGCAATCCTTAGATTCCTAAATACAGCCTCAGTGCATAGTAGCCCAGCCACTTCTTTCTCCCAGCAGCCTGGCCACAGCACTAGAGCAGTACTTTTCCCTTTGAAGTCCCATTGTTAGCAGAGGGACTTCAAATGGAAAATGCTGCTTCCTCCTGCTGTTTTGCCTCAGCACCCAACAGGGATAAAGAAGCAGCTGAGTTGTTTTAAAATGCACGTAAGAAGCTGAACTAAAGGCTGAGTTAAAGTTCCTAATGTCATTATTTTGTTTTGATTTGTTTAAGATCCCTAGTTGAGGTGGGGAATTTGGGGGGGAAGGACTTGGGGATGGCAGGATTAAAAAAAAAAACGAGACCAAGGGACTTGGATGCCTTAGTAGCTAAGTCCTGCACCATTTGACCCATTACAGAAATGTAGTTTGCAAAAGGGGGAAATACACAGAAACATTCTTCCTCCCCTTATTCCCTCTTTTAAAAGTAATAGGTAGAGACTTTTTGCATGTGCATGAGGGGATCCCAACCATGAGTCAGTATACGGCTGTGACATCACCAAAAAGGCACTATGAGCCAATCAGCATATGGAGGCCAGTCCTGCAAATTCTTAAAGCCCCTTGGGATCAGATCAATTGTCTGGATAACAGCATCATCTGTTAGCTAAACAGATTGCCAGCTAAAACATTAAGGATGCTTTGCCAGGACTCCATTAGAAGTTGATTGGCTTGTGAACTAGGGGCCTTATCCATAGCAAAATGCCTGGCTAATACTACAGAATTTGTATCTATAGCCCTTTCACTGTTGAGGAATCCCGGAACCTTAGTTTCACTACCACTTTGCTCATTTGCACATTACATTAATTTGGAACATTTCTTATACTTCAGATAGCACCTTACACATGGAAGGATTTTATTTTTAAAAAAGATACCCCTTTTAAAATTAGTAATTCTATCATGACAGTAGATCATGTATATATTTCAGAGCTCAGAACCTAACATCTAAGATGATTTCATTCCCTATTTAGTGTTGCAAAGCATCTTTGTCTCAACCCATAAGCATAACTCCCTAAAATACATTAGAAATAGTTACATTTTGGATCAGCTATTTCATTCAACGTGTATTGATTGGATTATGGATTACAATACATAAATCCTGACTGAAATTAATACACAAATATTTCAATGAGACACAAGAAAATTCAAAACCCACTTCAGGAAACAGTCCAGTTAGGATTGGCCTGATTTCATTAACCTTTCATAGCAGTCAGGTACCATAAAAAACTGAGGAAGACCATATACAATTGTAATGGGAAATGAAAAAAAGAATATGCTGGAACTGCAGCTTGAAGTCAAATAATGTAACATTACAGCTTATGTTTTTCTACAGTCGGCTTTCAGAAGGGTGAAAACAGCCAACTGTTTAGAAAGGCAGTAATTTAACAAAGAGGTTTTTGCAGCAAACCTGCAAATATTTTTATATTTTACAGTCTGCTGGATGACATAAGTGGAGACAAGAAAACATCCACTCTAGACACTCATGTCCTCTCCCCTAAAAAAAAAAAAATCAAACCAAAGGGGGCAGGGGTAGGGGGGATGACAGCATATCACAATTTCACCTGTACATGCACTCAGGTCCCTTACCAGATTGAAATACAGAGGGACAAACATGAGATTTCATCTTCCAATGTGGCAAAGTGTGCACCGAACCACTAAGAACTCATAAAAACGGTGCTGTTCTCTTACTAGTATGACTCTACCAAAAAAAAAACAAAAAAAACCGCAAACATTTCTAAAAACTGTAATGTTGAAACACCTTCACTCTTTGAACAGAACTAAATAGCTCAAAACCAGCAAAGAACTGCATGCTGTGAGATCTTAATAATATGTCCTTTTTGGCTCATTGAGCTTAAATAGGAAGACATAAAATTCAGAAATAAGTGTGTATGTGATATCAAAGGGAGAGCACATAATGTTTTCTACTCGTTTGGGAGTGACTGCATTCAGCCTTATGTTGTGGGCAATTTATTAACTGAGAATCTTACAGAGAATGTGTACTCTTACAGTAGTTCGTTATGCTAGTACTGGCAAGACACAAGAAGGGACAGAATGCTCCTCCTCCCCCTACTGTTTTCAGTGTCCAATAGAGGGGAAATCTGTCACTTTACAACTTAATTATTCTTTAGTGCTGTAAGGAAAAATGCTGCTCTACAGAGGGGACTCAGAATTTTGTGAAGGGGACATTAAACCCAGCAATGGTAAACTGGCAAAGGAATTCCACTCCGGATTTTCAAAAGGTCCTTAAGGGTGTTTGAAAATCAATGGGAATAACCAACCTTAGGCACATATGAAAATCCCACCCTCCATAAATAAATACCCCTTTGTGTGGGGGTGGGTAGGTAAAAGGGATAGAAAGTTAAAAATATGTTGGTAGGTACACAGTTGTGCTACACTTCAAACACTGCTTCACATATATGTATTAACCTGTATGAGAACCATACAACTGCTGTGCTGCTGTTCATAGATTACATTTTGACTTTAGAACCAATTTGCAGCAGGCTACCGCATCTTGGGTGCGCATACTTGCGTATTAGATACATATATAAAATTTTGGCTCAATGGATATCACTGTGTTTGGTCAACTTCAGTCCCCATAGAATAAACATTGGTCAGACCACACGAACACATCAGTTAAGAAAGATGAGTTAACCTACCTTAAGTTGTCCTATTTCTTTAAACTTATAAACTTCAAATTCCCAGAGTTCTGTGTTTTTTCCAAGTATTTTCTGACATTTTCTGAGGGAAAAATGACAGCAATTACAAATAAAGTTACATGTATGGACGAACAAAAACATGATTGTGTTGGCTATGTTCCCTCTACTCCCTCCACCCTCCAAACCAGGCACCTTTCAAGGCCCTGTGTTTTAGCAGTCATTATTCAAACAAGGTGTTCTGGACACCACTTTCTTCAGAGCATATCAACACCATTCCTTCGGCATCTAGAAAGGGTCAGTAGAGTAACAGGAGTGATATTCACACCCTCTTTTCCAGCAGCAAAATGTGCCATCCCACCTCTGTTGCCACCCACTGCCGATCCAGGACCTGAACTTTAATCCCCACATAATAAAAAAAACCTCAAGAATATTCTACTACTGTATTCCATTATTTGGGTGTCATCAACACAGGTAACAAATCTGCAGTTTGCAGTCTCCTATTAGCATGAAGGAAACTTCATCAGCTACACAGATTGCTACCTTTATCAGCCTATATACAGGTAAGTTCTCAATTAGTAGAGATTCTGAGCAACTGCAGCTTCCATTCACTTATGGAGTTTTCTGGTGTTCAGCAGTTCTAAAAACCAGAATTGTTTAAGTGCTTAAATATGGATTTAGGCACTTCATTTCATGTAGCCAGATTTGAAACTTTTAGTCTAAATAAAGTGTGAAGTATAATTATTATTGTGAATTATTTTCTGAGCATGTAACAATACTGAACACTGATAAGTCTATGACACAAATCAAGTGGATTCAAATGATAGTTTAAATAGCAAGGATATAATGTGGTCTAGAAGAATTAAATCCCACTCTTAAAATATGTGTAGTATGTTTCTAACAGCTAAAATGATTTATGTGACTAGAAATCAAAGTAGCAAACTTGCAGTTGTTTCTATCTATATAAATTAAAGGACAAGGGTAAAACAAATATCACTGGATTCCAATGAATCAAGGATTGCTTTATCTATTTCACACATGCATTATACATAATCATATGCACAGCAAAGACATTCCTAAATATATTACCTGGCAGCCAAGTCATACTCTCCTTTCTCCACTAGATGATTTATATAGGCTAAGCCTATGTCCTAAAATAAAGGAGAAAATGTAAAAATGTGACAAACTAGCTATAAAAGTTCCAAAGTCAAACATTCTTGAAGAATCAAGTCTTTAACTGCTGTAATAAACCTTTCAGTTCTGTTTACATTCAGTGGCTTGTTAGGTCAATCATCAGTGCTTATTTCTCAGGGATATCTCCTCCTAAGCCCCTGTTCCCACTTAGAAATAAGCACCTGTACATAAATCACACTGAAAAACTCACTTTAAAATCTCATCTCTTGACCATATGACACTCTTTTAAATAATTTCTCATGACTTCTCTAATATTGAGATGAATATACTACTTCCCAAGTCTTGAGTGGGGCTCAAAATGTGTATTTAGACATTCAACATTTGAGTCACTTAGATCAGGATGATAAAATGTTGACCCTGACATGGGACACTTTCTGCATCAACAAAAAGAAAGGTTTGGTGTATGGGGGAAGAGAAAAGCAGCGCATCTGCTGAGAACATAACTCCAAGAAATGCTCCATAAAGTAGAGGAATTACTGATAATTTAACAAGCTGCTCATTTTATTACACAGAAGTAGGGAAAGGAAACTAAGTTACAGGCTTTATTATCTAAAAAGCACTAAATCACACCAGTGCTATTCAAGCTACTTTAGAGATCTGTCTGCATTTACATAATAAATCCTGTCTCAAGAGTTTACCCCATTACTCAGCTGTAAATTATCTGCTGTGCCTCAATTGAGACACTACTTGGTATTTTGACCATTAAAAAAAAAAGCATCCATTTATTATCTGATGTGATCACATCAATGCTCAGAGATGATGATATCACAGCTTTACACAGGTGAAGCTGATGGGACTACACACAAGGCTCACAGAACAACTTACGTCAAGCAATAGCATGGAAAGGGGCTGAGGGTCCTAACTAGTGAAGGAACTACGTAAGGGATTCTACTATAGTCGTGCTTAGATTGGGGTGGCAAGCAGAGGCCAGTATGGGGAAAGAGTATGGGGACTGGATTTGTACTTATGCAGATCAGGTGACCCTTGCATCCTGTGTAAGTGGTGCTGAAGGGGTGTGGCCACTATGACAACCTATAGAATCTTTGGGAGGCGCTTACTGTTACATGACCCTGTCCCCTGCTTAACTGTGTATGTTGAATATATTTTGCCACTTAATCCCTGTGGACTTTACCTGCCGTGGGCCTGATCCAAAGCCCAGTAAAGTCAACTGGAATTCTTCCATTGATTTCAGTGGGATCTGGATCAGGCCCAGCAAGCTAATAACTGTGGCTTCATGTGCATTAATTGGATTCAGAGCCGGCTCCAGGCACCAGCTTGCCAAGCAGGTGCTTGGGGCGGCCACTCTGGAGAGGGGCAGCACGTCCAACTATTCGGCGGCAATTCGGTGGACTGTCCCTCACTCCCGCTCGGAGCGAAGGACCTCCCGCCGAATTGCCGCCGCAGATCGCGATCGCGGCTTTTATTTATTTATTTTTTGCGCCACTTGGGGCGGCAAAAACCCTGGAGCCGGCCCTGATTGGATTTCATCCTAACCTAACACATTTTACAAGCCATATATTAATAGAGCATTTCTCTTTTTACTTTCCGTCCAGGACTTGCTTTCCGGTTTCTATATTTCACAGGCAACTAAAGTATGCAAGGAACTGAACTCCCTGCATGTTACATTCTGGTGATGCCATCAGCTCTTAAAGGGGAAAACAGACTTTTGCACTCAGCTGGGACAAGTAAAACACTTTCAGGCTATTTCTAAAATGAATTTATTTGTAAATTTCAGGGTACACTTGCAATTTAACTATGAATTAAAAATCTCAATCAATGCTTTGTGCTTATTCTTTAAATACCACATTTCACCTTTGAAAGGTAAGCCATCAACTCAATATCTAAGTCAATTAAAAAAAAGGACTTTTTGATTGGACTGGTTTTTGATGATTCACAATATTTTCCTATTTTACAAAATATCGCTATTTCCTCTTATTGCTGTGTGTAAGACCACACAAGCAACAGGGAAAATAACTATACAGGGGTAAACAGTGACTACTATGTAAAAGGCAGGGATTTTTAAAATAGCTTATGGGAGTTAGTACCCATTTCCCACTGAATTTAAACAGGATTTAGTGTCTACCACCTTCCATAGGCTCCTTTGATCATTCTAGCCAAGAAGGTGTTGTCTTACACAGAAAGTAAAACTGAAAAAGAAATTAGTTTTTCTCTAGTGACTTTCAGGTACTATAATATTAGGTGTTACCCAAAATAACAGCAGGTAAAAAAACAAACAAAAAAAGAGTAGTACAATTTGTAAGTTCACCATTTTGTGCTTCCATTCTGTGGTTTGGGACTGACCTCAGGAATCTGAACATTGGTTGGAAAGTGTATAACTATTGTCTGGAATAACGTGGACAGACAAATATAATAACCAACATTCCTATGATGAATATAAAGCACCAGGCAGTATTCTAAAGAGCAAAAAATATATATTTTTTTTATTTTGAAGTTTTTAACTTACCAAAATCCTGTGTTTTTTTATGGTCTTCTGACTGATTTCAGCTGCCATCAAAGCCTCCTATATGATAGAAAAGTGACATACAAGCCAGATATACAAAACTTCTACAAAGAAAGCTCTAGAACTGCATAAATCAAACCCTTTTTATTGTGCCTTGTGTTTGAAGCACTAGAATTTTTAATGCCATGGTTGAATGAACAGCTTAGAATTCATACTCAGACAAAAGCAGTCAACCAAAAAGAAAACTACTTTTGTTTCCATATGGGTTCACTCCACATTAGTATATTAGGATCAAATTTCAAGACTATGACACACTATATAATGCAATACCATTGGTTAATGTTCAAACAAAAATCCTCTGCTAGAAAACCTATATGAAAAAGCTGTTTGAGAAAAGATATAATTTTTTTTCTTATACTCAACCAAAATACTTCTCCAGTCAGAATGGTTTTTTCATTAAGTTTAATTTGTAGTTCTTCCTTTAACTACTTCAAATGTGCAGAAACAGACATGGCTTTTTAAAAGCAAAATGAAAAAAGTGAAAGCTTAATTTAGATTACAACACAAGCCAGTCACTGATTATTAGCCTAGGAGGGCTTTCACCAAGACACACACAGCTACCACTTGAAAGGTGCTTGAGTCTTGTGGGACCCACTGCAGTGTTTTGCATAACTACAGAACTGCATTCACCATTTTGAATGTATTCCTCAGAAGAAACAAATCCTCATGGAGGTTTTCAAGATAATCTGCATCAGGGATATCAAAATTTAGTTAACCACAGAAATACCTGCCAAATGGGGATGAGACCTATGTTCTTTTTTCCCAGACATTTGTTTTGAAATTGACTATAAAACACATGCATTCAGCTCATTAGTACATTTAAATTAACCTTTGCAAATTTCTTTAAACAGCCTACAAAGTCCTCTGATTCACTATGGGAAATCAGAAACCAGAAAAGTTGGGTATTGCATTAATATTGCCTATAAGGTTCCACTTAAAGACACATTGCAAATTCTGGAACCAATACTAGGTGCCTAAAATCAATATCTGGCACCTAAATAAATGACCAGATTTTTTCAAAGAAGTGGAGCACCTTAGTTCCTAGTGTAGTCACTTACCACTGCTGGTGTTCAGCAATTTTCAGAATCTGGCTACTTTAGGCACCAAAAATTGTATATTTGGTCCTAAATTATTTAATACTTTAAAAACCGTGCCACATATAAAAGAAACTACATCTTAGCTGGAGCTGTATGTGTTACCCTAATCCATCAACCCTCTTTCAATATCTAATGCCTCAGAATGGTGACTTCTGATGCAACTAAAGTGAACCTCTTTTCTTTAATCAGTTTGGATGGACCCAAAACAACAAAGAATATCTGATTTCCAGTTCATTTCTTCAAAGCCAAATAGCATCACTAATTTTAGTGACATCTAAAACATTTCGACAGAGACACACCCTTTCCATCAACTACACATTTAGGCTCCAATCTTGCAAAGATTTACACAATGGGACAGCATGTGTGAGTAAAGCTACACACATGCTTATGTGACTGCAGGATCAGGAACTAAAGTTAAAATAAGGCCTTCCCAGTCACATGGGATGGCAACATTACTATGGAGAACAAGACTTTCAAACATAAGAAATTGAAGATAATGTGATAAAAATTACTTCATATTTCTTCTTTTCAAGAAGCCAGTCAATGTGGTCATCTTGGTCCCGCTCTTTAGCCACAACAATATCTCTTGGACTAATAATGTAAAACAGCGATTCACCCTCTGAATGCTCTGCAAACACATGACATTTTATTATTTTATTTTCCTAAAGAAAAGCCTTGCATTTTAGTTCATCTTTCGGAGAAAAAAATAAATAGAGATGCAACCAAGACAGCAAGAATATGACGACTTTGGGTGCGCTATGCTCCAATAAATTAAAACTGATTTAAACCGCAAAATAGCTTTCAAAACTCACCACAGCTTATTTAAAATTCGGATTCATCCTTCATGTATAAATGTTATGATGGTTTAGAACACAGAGTTATACTGTCAGAGGGTTATTATACGATTTAGTCTGCAATAAACCCACCTTCCCCATCAAAGTCAAGGACATCAAAAGCATAAGTGATAGACGCCATAACCCCAGGGGACTTGGTACATCATTACAGCAATGCATTTGCAATGCTGTAATTTAAGGTTATATTTTATATTCACCAATACTTTAAACTCTTAGTTTGATTAAGCTTGATGTAAAAATTCACTCAAAAAAGGTAAAATCTTGCAGAGAAGATGACTGCTCAAAAGTGCATTTCTTTCCCCAAAGCCTGGAAAAAAAATCTTCTCAATATTTTGTAGACACAGGGATGAAATTTGCCCTAACGCTATCTACACACACACACACACACACACGTGCACTTATACAAACACAAAACAATTTTTTGTACACAATATATTCTAAACCATCAAAAAGTTCATACATGGTAGATGAATCAGAATATTCATTGAACAGTGGAGCACCATAGTGGGGACCAGCTTTGTGTTTGGGCACAGGTATAAAGCAGCCCCAATTCTGTGATGAGAGCACAATGGTTTGGAGACTGGCAGAGGGTATACTGCATTTGCAATTATTTAAGGGTATGGATGTGCATTCAGGTTTGGCAGGCCTACTTTGATTTGAAGTTGACTGTATGAGATACTTGCTGCTGGGTAAGATGTTTAAATCAGACTCTGCTTTGAGACTCCAGAAGGGACCATTATGATCAGTGCTTAATTTGTAATGAAAGAGAGGCTGGGACTCAAACAATTTTTTTACATTTATAACTGATGCAGCAAGCCTAGAGATGCCGGGGCTCAGCCCTGGCACAAAGCAAGCACGGATTATGATCCTCCTGCATAACATAGGCTATATAATTTTACCCAATTGTTTCTGCATCAAACCCATAACTTTTGTTTGAACTAGAGCATGCCTGTTTAGAAAGACAACCAATCTTGATTTGAAGACTTCAGGCAATGGAGAATCCACCACATCCTTAGGTCAGTTGTTCCAATGATTAAACTGCCTTCATTGTAAAAATTTGTGCCTTACTTCTAGTCTGAATTTGTCTAGCTCCAGCTTCCGGCCATTGGATCTTGTTATTCCTCTGTCTGCTGGATTAGAGAATCTACTATCAAATCTCCTCTCTGTATAGGGGACCGTTAATAGTCCTTGTAGCTCTTTTTCTGAACCCCTGCCAATTTATAAATATCCTTTTTAAAGTGCGGACACTAGAACTGAGCACAGTATTCCAGGAATGGGCTTATTTTGCCATATATCAAGTAATGCTACCTCCCTACTCCTACTCTATATTCTCCAAGGATCACTTTTAGTCCTCTTAGCCACAACATCACACTGAGAGTTCACGTTCAGCTGGTTACCCATCATGACCCCCACAGCCTCAGGGGCGCTGCTTTCTAGGAGATATCCTTTATCCTGGAGACGAGGCCTATGTTCTTTTTCCCTAGATGCCTGTTGTGAATTTGGCCTTAAAACACACATTTAAATGAGCACAAGTGATCCAGATCATTCAGTATAATCTACTTGTCTTTATTATTTACCATGCCACCAATCTGTGTGTCATCTTCAAACATTACCAGTAAAGATAATATTTTTTCTTCTGGATCACTGATAAAAAAGATATTGATTAGCACTGGGCCAAGAACACATGACAACAGAATCTCATGATAAACAACCCAACTGGATGAGGATTCCACATCAATAATTACTTTTTTGAGATCTGTCAGTTTTTAATTCCCTTAACGTATGCGGCATTTTGTACAGTGCTAATTCTTTTAATCAGAAGAGGATAGAATAGCACCCTAACCACTGGGCTAAATCTTGGGAGACCCAGGTTCAATTCCCTACTCCACCACAGTTCTCATATATGACCCTGAGCAGTCACTTAGGATGAGATTTTTAAAGTTATTTAGGTGCCTATAGATACAGATCGGCTCTCTGTAGGATTTTCAGAAATGTCTAGCCATCTAACTCCCATTGAAATTAGGTGCATTTAGATGCCTGAATACCTTTAAATAGCTGGCCCTTAGTGTCTCAGTTCCCCATATGTAATATGGGGATAACAGTACTTCCCTACCTCACAAAGGTGACATGCAGATAACACGATGGATAAAAATCTATGTTTTCAAAAATGGAATTTAAATAATATTTTTATTTAAATTAAATGCAATTTTTAAATAAACTTATTTAAAATTAAATTTAAAATGATTACTATCCTGTTCTGTAACTATTGTTCTTTGAGATGCATTGCACGTGTCCACTGCCCTTCAGGTGCGCGTGGGCACAGTGCACCAGAACCAGAGTTGTTTTTAACTTAGTCCAGGCAGTGCATGCACCTTCACGTATTCACATTGCTAACTGATGGTATAAAGAACAGAGCTGCCCCTGACCCCTCTCAGTTCCTTTTGACTAGATAGACTCCTACATAGCAGGGAAGGAGGGTGGGCTGAGGAATGGACATGTGCAAAATATCTCAAAGAACAGTTACACAACAGGTTAGCAACTGTTTTTTCTTCGAGTGATTGCACGTGTCCATTACACCTCAGGTGACTCACAAGCAGTTCAGACTAGAGGAAGGTTTGGGAGTCTAGCTGAACAACTGAAGAACCACTCAACCAAATTTGACATAGTTTCTGGAAAGCATAGTGCTTTGTAAAAGTATGCACTGATGACCAAGTTGCAGCTTTACAAATGTTTCTTAGAGGTACCCGAGCCAGAAAAGCTGCAGAAGCTGTTAGGGATCCTGTGGAGTGAGCTACAAACCTGCGTGGTGGAGGTACTATGGCCATGTCATAGCATAGACTTATGCAGAATGAAATCCACCATTATATCCTCTGCATAGAAACTGGGAGGCCTTCCATCCCCTCTATAACTGAAATAAACAGCTGGTTAGACCTTCTAAAAGATCTAGTTCTGTTCAAGTAAAACATTAAATGTCCTTCTGATATCCAAGGTATGAAGCCTCTCTTCATTCTTATGAGAACATGGCTTAAGAAAAAAGGATGGTAAGTATACGGCTTGATTAAAGAGGAACTTCCAGACTACTTAGTGAGGGACTTTGAATGAGGACATAAATATATTTTGTCCCTACAAAAAAACCATGTATGGAGGGTCAGCAACCAGGGCACATAACTCTGTCACCTTCCTCATGGAGGTAATGGCCACAAAGAATGCTACCTTCATAGACAGATGTAACAAAGAAGTGATGCCCATTGGCTCAAAAGGCAGACCTATTAGCATTGCCAGTACCAAACTGAAGTCCAAGAGAGTTGTGGGATCTGCTATTAGAGATGTAAAGCCTGACCAAACCCTTTAAGGGTCTAATGGTTATAAGGTTAGAGAACACTGATCTGCTCTCTGTCGGTGGGAGGAATGTGGAGATAGGAGCCTGATTGTCTTCATAATGGCTCAGGACCTGCTAGGCGACTTTGCAGCAGGAGGAACAGTGGAAGATTTTGAAATGGGAGGGATTCCAAAAAAGTCAGTCGGGTGGCATAGGACCCCAGCCATAACTGTTCCATGGGTCTTGGTCTCTGGAACATCTTCCAGTCAGATAGGTACTAAGCTCTTCCTGATGGTGGCGGTGACTGATGCGGCTTCCTGTCACGGAAAGGTGGTGCATACGAGGTAACCTTGGACTCCAAGTCATATCCAGAGTACTCGGACAGCCACAGTGGTGCTGTGCCACTCTGTGCTAGAGACTGAAAAAGTCTGCCAGATGATGCCAGTACTGAGAATAACATACTAGGCTTACAACTGGGCTGGGCTGGACAGGACAAGAAAGAGTTGGACCAATGACAGTGGGGAAAGACTTCAGTAAACAAGTCCACGTGCTCAAACTACCAACCACTGACGGAAATGAGGGGGTCCTTTATTACATTGATCAATTGTACCAGGTGGTAAAGGCAAATGCACTGCCCTGATGGATCTGCTACGGGAAAAATATCTTCTCTGGCTTTGGTGCACTGGGCACACATACACGTGAAATAGAATGGACATGTGCAATCACTCAAAGAGGAATCTACATTAAGTCCTAAACTTATTATAATCTACTAAAATAATTTACATTGTTTAAATTAAATAAAAAAAATATTAAGCTGTACATGCTTGCCACCAAGTTTTTAAAAAAGCCACACCACTGAACTTGTAGAAATCACTGGCTAAGCACCTGGAAGAAGAGTTTGTTGAAGTGCTAAACAAGCTTTTGACAACAGTAGCGCCTTCTACAGGTGCACAGACAACATTTTCTTTATTTCAATTTATTCAACTAGTTCAGTTTAATGACTAGTTCATTCAAAGCTAAGGAACCAATTGGGAGCTGAAAAAGCAGAAAAGCTTGTTTTCCTCTTCCAATCTCTATGGAAAAAATATAGGTGCAAGAGGGTAAGATCTACTATTTCTAAAATCCGGAAGAATATGGTGATCAGAAACTATCAGTTCAATTAATTTACTACAGACAATACTTCCTCTGTTTAAGTAAGTCAGTTAGCTTTAAATGCAAAACATGTTTAATATGCTTTGATAAGCTTTGTTTTTCTTACGTATCCAGCACTTAAGGTAGTTTTATTTAATAAAAAACTAAAAAGCTGCTTTAGTGTATTTTAATTGAATTTTAATTTCCTTCCACACAGAGCTTGACTCATCAGTCACCATTTTCTAACATAATAAAAAAATTATAATCTGAATAAAGGTAAATTAAGCTATATAAATCTGCATACATATAGTGTATTCTCCTGGTTAGCAGGAAGAAATACCAAATTTAGGGTAAAGACTATATTTAGTTGCAAATCTACATGTTTTAATAGTTACCAATTAATTGGAATCAACCTTTCTTTAGGAAAATAAAAAGTACCAATGTAAAACACAATTAAGATCAATGATTTAAATCAAGGTTTCCTGCTTGCTGATCTAAATCGTGATTAAAATAGGTGATTTAAATTGCTTTGATTTAAACCAATCCACCCTGGAGGTTCAATACATTAAAGATCGCGAGGGACATAGATTCTATGGTAATGGGGGCCATAGAAGTACCTCGGATAGTACCACAAGGCATTCTCTGGCTAAGTCAAATGCCTTACAAAAATTTAAGTAATTTTTAAGTAAAATTTAGTGCAGTTACCATTAATCAGCCAAATGTGTAATCCCATTAATCAGCCAAACGTGTAATCTCATCAATAAACTATATCAAGTTGTATGACTAGTCCTATTTTTCTATTAAGCCTGTTGACCAGCATTAATTATGCTACCCTCCCTTTAATTCTTCATTGATGGCATCGCATATCCAGCACAGAATAGAAGTCCCAGTCATGGACCAGGAGTCCATTGTGCTAGGTTCTGTACAAACGAAGAAAACAATTATTTGACAAAATTAGTTAATAGAGGTTAACCCAGATGTTGTGGACAAACCTCATTGGCAGCATTGGTACAGATGGCATTATTTTGTGGTTAAATATATAACTTAATATATGTAATCTATGCAATTAAATATTCTCAGCATATAATACCAACAGGATATCCAACCAATGCAACACAGCCCAGGGAATATTATGTTGGAACTTTAATTTTTTAATATCTTGACATTTTGTAATTTTAACTTAGCAACCTTAACATTGCATTAAGTCATGTTTGTGCAGTACACAGAACAAATTGCCATAGATAGATATTGACAGAGGCACTAGAGGATAGGATAGCAATTTAATGGTCTGACTTCTACAAGACTAATTAGGCAAGGATATTGTTACCAAAAATAAAAAACAAAACAAAAAACTAACAAGAGTCATTGAAACGTCTCACCTAAATGATAATCTCTACATTCGTTTTCTTGGAATCCTCTAACAGTCAGAGCATCAGAGGAGATCTCCTCACAAGACTCAGGTAAGGGTTGAATAATATCCAGTCTAGGTCTTGCACAATATTCCATTTCCTGGGAAAAATTCAACCACAAAAATGTGTGTTATGCAATTTGTCTTCTTTATATCAACCGATGGTCACTTGAGAACAAGATTTAAATACAAACTTCTGCCACAGAGTTTTCCAGAAGGATACCCATTGTTGACAATAGACATGCCCAAATTGTCAGTATCAGACTTAACTTCCCAGTTCTCTGTAGCTATAATGTGGTTATCACCAGAAGAAACAAACAGCTGAAATCTTCCTTCACTGTGTTTAGTGAATTTATACAATTATGTCACCATTTGAGGAGAGTGGAGTAAATTTTCTACAATGTGAATGGAGAAGAGGGGAGGGGAAAAAGCTTTCCACAAATATGCATTCAAATTTGAAAGCAAATTTCAATTTAGCCATGACTCACTATCCTTTCATGTTCACTTTTTGCAAACAGAGCTTCGTGAAAAGTGATTTTAGCTCAAATATTCACCAGATATGAACATCAAATTGTGTGTTCAATTGTAAATTTTGCAGTTCATAATTTGTGAGCTGTTGATTAGTTTTGGAACATAAATCACATGGTAATGTTCCTATTCTTTCTTTGGTTTTCCCTTAAGTTATGTAACCAACACAGAGCAAAATACACGTCACAAATGACTACACAATTCGAATTTTGCATTCTGTTAGCTACATAATTGCACATTAGTGATTCCACAGTTAAGGACACACTGAGATTTGCACTTACATCAAAGATTAAAAATTGTTTGGTATGTATGAATAATATACTGTACCTTAACCAAACACACAGCAATTATAGTATGGAATTAATTTTCTAAGAATTCAGAATTAAATCAGTTACCTCAGACTGATTAAACAGATTTTTAAATGGGCTCTACCACTTTTTTGTGGGGGTGCATCCAACCTTATGTTTGGTCCTGTCTAGCAAATAAAATTCCTGATTTTTGAGATTTGAAAAGTAGCTTACTTCTAGATGATAGCAAAAGTTACTAATGTATAAATTAGTGATTTAACAGCACTACTAATATTTCTAACGGCATCACAATGATTGTCACCTAGTATATTTATCAACCAATGGATTTCGAGAATCTGAGTTTTCAGTTAAAAATAAATAAATTAGCGGGCTAGATCTTCGGCTGTGTCCAATCCCTGCAGAGCACAGCCCCACAAAGGAGCAGGTTGCAGCAACCTGATTCTGGGCTTAACTGTATACTACTGCCAGCCCCAGGTTTTTTTTGAATCAGGGTGGATTTCAGTCTAAATTTATCCTTTAAGCGTCCAGTCAAAGTAGGAGCATATTAATCTGAAAGTAATCTAGAATTCTTGATACACTGACGAGCTCCAGTAATGGGAACATAGGGAGTCTGCTGTGGGTATCTTTAGGTGAAGTGGCATAAAGTTGGGATTGGACTTTCACCTGTGGTTGGTTATTCTCGGATTTTGGGGTCAGGGGAAACTGCTGGCTTTACAGCCTTGCATTTTTAATTATGCCAAGGCCCCAGCACTGCCACATTAAAAAAAAAAAAAACAAAAAAAAAAACCTGGTTATGAATCAAACAATAAATAATGGAGTACTTAGTGAAGATGCTACCTACGCTCTCCCATCAACGTAGGTACTCCACATCCACGAAAGGTGGCAGCAATGTTGATGGGAGAAGCCCTCCTGCTGAGGCAGAACTGTCTACACCAGCGGTTCGATCAGCATGTGGTTCTTCTACACCCCTGAGCAACATGTTTATACCGACGTAAGTTTGTAGTGTAGACCAGGGCTAAGAAGTGGTCAGCTTAAGTCATTGGTTCAAATCTAGTCCCAGTTTGGAATGACTGAAAGTTATTTGCCAGTCATGAAATGAGTTGGTGGGCTCATTAGTTCACAACAGAATTCTACAACACAGAGATCATCACGGATGGTAACTGTCACCCTTGCTGGCAATCACAGCAGAGAGATCTAACTATTAGGTACCTGAGACTGAACTACTCTATCCCCCCTTAAAGACATGGCCCTCTCCAGGTCACAGCAGAGGTATATAGGCAGGACAGGAAGAGGAACCCTTCACAGCATCTGCTCACCCTCTGTATGTTTGCTTTGGACAATTAGAGGGGTTCAGTTTGATCAGCTTGGCATCTTTCAGAGGCTCTGCATTCGTGTTTCGAAAAAACCACAAAACAAATGCAAATACATTAAAGATCTCTCTCTGCTATGATCTACTATTGCTTGACTGGAAATTCTCTTTCCCTCCTTGTTCCCTGAAGCAGTCAGAATGTCTTTCACCTTTCCCATTTACTTCTTGCTTTATCCCAGCTCTTTTCCAATACTACTTTTTCATTAACAACGACTTCCAATTTCCTTGTTTACTAGCATTTCACCCTCCCATTTCCCTTTTCATTTGTTACCTTGCTTTCTCTCTCTCTCTCTCTCACATACACACACACACACACCCCAGAGGAATTACTGTACTAGCTCTCTTGGGAGAAGCTGCTGTGGCCTTTTTTTGGGGGGGGGGGGGGCTTAAAATAAATAAATAAAAAATAATCTGACATCCTGCAATAGTGCTAGAAGCTAACCCTATTGATTTCAATAGATTTGAGCATTAGTTTGAGCCTACAGCATTTCATTGCCTAGCAACAAGTTGCTTAAGGTTACTATAGCGATGACTGTCTAACGCAGGCACACTATCAAAGAGATGATCAAGAACATCTGCCACTCTTATATTGGGGCTTCAGGGGCTTTCCTTTCCCCACTTTTTACTGTGTATTCTGAAACAAATATATGAGGCAGGCATGGTTGTTTCCCTCCTGGTAGTGATGTTAATTCCAAGTGCTATATATTTACAAAAACATACAGTGCACAAAACAGATGTCTCAGAGGCGAAGGAAACAATCAGCTGCTCTCCCAGTAATTTCCACTGCCCCAACCACACTGACTTCTATTGTTAGAGCTGATCAACTTCACTCTCTCATTCCTGCAAATGCAGTGTCAGCAAGTTGCCCCTCCTTTCAGCTGGCTGTATCCTTCATTCCTTCTCATACACAAACACCAGAAAAGATTGAGAGAGAGGCTTTCTTTGTTCCCCCCAAGGAACAAAGGAGACCAGATAGCAGGGCCTCTAAAAGGTAAATACACTAGTCTTCAACATAACCTCTGTAAATCTTATTTTATAGGTCAAGGAAATCGTATCCATTGTTTACTACAGACTAAGTTAATGAAGAATCATTTCACAGATAATCATTGTGTCTAATTTAAACCTGAGGAGGTTTTGCGCTGCTGTGCAACTCTAACACCAAAGTAATTACCGTTTTCTCAGAAACCTCCTTTACGTATGAAAGTACAACAAGCTGGTCGCAGAGAGGTGCAAGTCCACTGATGTAGAATTCAGTATCGAACTGGAAAACTGCAACACAGGAAAGACACAGATTTATAGAAGAGCATGAGCCACTCTCCAATAAAAACATGGATCTGATTTTCAGAGATGGCCAGCTGTGCATGCTCAGCATCTCAAATAAATTAGGCCCAAGGTATACAACAAGCCAACAGTATCCCTTGTTAGACTCACTGGGTGACAGAAGATTGCAACTTGCAAATGAAACTAAATTAAGGGTTAGGAAAAGAAACATCTTGGGCTCCATCACATGCTATCAATGAAATAAGAGGGGTCATGTGGATTTTCAGTAGCTGATCGCATAACACAATAGGACGCAGAGCTAGAGGCAGAGTTAGTGCAGTTTACACAAAGTAGTAAGAGCATTTTCCTATGGTCATTAAATTGTGGAAACTCACTTAGTGGTGCCCCCTAAAGCTATCGGTGTGATATATGAGAATCCTAAGATTATTATTTTATCATCAGCTTAAGCTTCAATGTGATTTTTATAAGCAGAATCAAGATTTTAAAAAAATGTTAGCTGATATTTACTTTTTTGGCCTGATTTGTAAAACTGAACATGAATTTCCAAGATCACTTTTGAACCCAGGGGATTTGAATGCTGACTATAATTGTGCTGGGGGATAGGGTTTCAAAAGACAGTTGAATGTTTATTTTTTTTTAAAGTTTTGTTTCAGTATACAGTGAACCACAACAACATTTACCTCACCTGAAATGAGGTTTACATTTGTAACATTTAACATTAGGGAGCATATTGCTGCTTTTTCTCTCTTTGATCCTTGACCACCACATGGTTGACATAAATATACACAGAGAAGAAGATCTGCAAGTGATTGCATTTGGACTAGAAAGATGCATTTTGTATAACCCTAGATGTAGATCCAGGGCACAGTGATTTTCATTTCCATTTTAGAAGAATCTGAGCATAGATAATGAATGTGTTACCATTAGTTACCACTAATTTAATTAGAACAAGAAGGAAATGCACTGTAATCTTGAGTGATAAAATAAAAGAAAGGATCATAAAAGAAATGGGGAGGAAAGAGGGGAAATAATCATCCATTAAGTAAGAAAAACTGCTATGAAATAAGAGTTAAATGTAACATTTGTCTCTAAAGGAATAAGCAAATATAGATATATAAAAAAAATTAACACAGACCCTGTGACATCATTGTGGGATGAATGCATCACATAAGGTTAAACATTCAAACAACAATATCCCTGGGTAGAATATGCTGACATTTTTAATCCTTTATGCAATTATTTTGTTCTGTCCTGCAAGATTGACAATGCTGCTCGGAATATATCACGTTTTGAGTGCTGATTTTAGAACAGCTGATGTCAGAAACATTATCTACGTAATATATCTTGCTCCTGACATTCAATTTAGCATTTAACGACTGAAAGGAATACTCAAAGCAGAGAGTGAGAACTTGAAGACGACAAAATAAAATGGACAAAACGAAATACATTGGTTACGAGGAGGACAGAGGAATATTTATTGACAACTTATCAAATGGAGGCTAAAAAAGATGTCTACTGCTCTGAGACATTTAAAAAAGACTGAGGATTCAATTTGCGGTAAGAACATGGCACTTAGTGACATCTTTAGATTATTTAGAATGTTTTACCCATTTTCTTTCTAAATTCCATTGACTTTCAAACAGGACTACAGTCCCTAAGTCAATTAGGCACTTTTGAAAATTTTACCCTATTTGTCCACCCAGTGGTGAAGATGGGATAAACCAAAACAGCTGTTGGGCAAGAATGTTGCAGTAAGTTTTGTTCTCAGAGTTTCATTTTTCTGGTTTCAAGTTCAGCTTCTCTATAGCTCATCCTCCTCAAGAGACCTTGTTGAAATACAATGCTATAGTTCTCTTGCTACGGCCTTGAACAAAGAACATCTAGTACAAATGCTTCTTGTTTATCTGATAAAAGGCTTTGATACAGCTAATCAAAAGGCTTTTATTGAACAGATTACAAACATTATAGCCATACAGAACACAAGATAAGTAGTGAGCCAAATTAACCTAATGGTTACAGGTAGTTTGTTACGAGAGAAAGAGAACCACCCAATGAATAGCTATTCAAGAATTGTTATTAATTTGAACAGGATCGTGAAACTCTTAAACCAAAACTAGCATCCATATGCATTATGAGACCACATCCAAGTAAAACACATTTACGATTAAGGCGTACAGGAACCAAGATGCAAGATACACTGATTCAGATCAGTCCTGCTCTATGTTAGTCTGTCACAAAAAAAAATATTACTCAAAAGTAGCCCTACCCCTAAGCTACTTGTGCCTAAAATCTTTAAATATTAGCATTAAGTAAAATAAATATTTATGTGATTTTGTAACATTAGTGTTTGTGATTGGAAAGACCCATTTCTAAGAACCTTCCCAGACATTAAGTATTCCATTATTTACAGTAAGCTCTCTTTCTTCCATTACCCACCTAAAGGTTAGCTAATTTCTTTGTATTATTTTTGTAAAGTGATAATATTTCAAGGATGGAAGCATTTCCAGCCAGTAGGGAACCTGAATAGAAGAAACTACCAGACATTTCTAGGTTAAAAGATGTCAATTGTGATTCAAAATTAGGAAGGAAATGAAACTTTTTTTTAATAGTACATGAGAGGCCATGCATCAGAAAGCAAGGGCTCAACGGGAACTCTGCCTTTTCGTGGAAGTACAATGAAATAGTCCACATGAGAATCCTATATTTGTATTCAAAGGCAGCAGTGTGCCTCTACAGTTCACTGTAATTCTTCTCCTGAAATTACATCATGTCCTATGTGAGCAATAAAGTGACTATCTACTGACTGAGAATGCATTCAAATGACATTCTAATAAAACATTATGTTACTTGAGTTTCTAAAGGAGGAGCACTTTATAGGATATAACTGATACCAAATGTCAGCTCCTGTGTGTACCCCGGACTTTGCATCACTATAAGATTTTGCACAGGATACACAAGATGGGTTTTCCACCTGGAGCTCACAACCTCAAGGAGGGTTACAAACTGGTTCCATGGCTCACAACCACCACATGGGTAGGATGGGAGAGAAGGTGGTCTCAAAAGGTGGTTTCTGTGGCTGGAGAGCAGCAGCTGTTAGCCGGGCGCCCAGCTCTGAAGGCAGCAACCCGCCAGCAGTAGTGCAGAAGGGTGGCAATATCATACCACACCACCCTTACTTTTGCGCTGCTGCCTTCAGAGCTGGGTGGCTGGAGACTGGCGGCTGCTGACTGAGGGCCCAGCTCCGCAGGCAACAGTGTAGAAGTAAGGGTGGCAATACCATACCATGCCATCGTTACTTCTGCGCTGCTGCTGGTGGCAGTTCTGCCTTCAGAGCTGGGCTCCCGGCCAGCAACTGCTGCTCTACAGCTGCCCAGCTCTGAAGTACGGGTAGCAGTACTGCACCTCACCTATAATAACCATGCGACCCCCCCCCCCCAACTCCTACAATTACAAGAATGTGACATTTCAGATTTAAATAGCTAAAATAATGCAATTTATGGCTTTTTAAAAATCCCATCACCATGAATTTGGTAGGGCTCTACCTATAGTCCTCAAGGAAATCACATTGAATCCTTGTCATCTTTTGCCGACAGATTAACAGAATTTTAACAGCTAAAAATATTGATAGTCTCAACGGTGAGCTTTCCTTCACAAAAGTCCATTGAATGGAAAAATATGGGCAACTTCAGCAACCAACAGGGGAGGAATATGGCAGCCTTTAGATCACAGTATTAGCCTCACTTATTTCATCAGGGATTTTGCTAATTATTAATATAGCCGTTTTTGTCATCATGTGAGGCTAAAAAGGGGTAATAGCAGTATTAGTCAATGTGGGTTTATTATGGGTAGTATGGTGTTTTGTTTATTTATTTATTTTTATGGCTTAAGATGTTCAGGGGACTCTGATGAAATGTGTACATAAATAAATATACAAAGAAGTTGGCATTTAACCACTGGTGACAATTTTCTGCTCAGTGTGGTCGCTAATAAGATTTTTTTTTTTTAAAGTTCTTACAACGCTAGAGTAGAGTATCTCTCTTTATGAGCCAAACTGAAATATTCAGCATCTTCGTCCAAAACCCAAATTGGTTGTCATGATGTCCACTTCAATTAAAATCCAAAATCTGACTATCCAGTGGCTGAAATTCACCAGTAACAATTTCACTAGGAAACATGTATGGATTGATCCGTAGTTCTGAGACCATTCCTCAGGACACAAAGGTGTGCTGGGGAGCACATCCGCTATACATGCAATTTTACACCAGTTAGATGTCTACCTTACTTGGAAAGAACGAGTGTCCGGAGGTGTTATAGATTGGTTAGAACTTGGACTTGGAATAAGTCACCTGGGGTGAAATTCTGGCCACCATGAAGTCTTTAGGAGCTTTGCCACTGACTTTAAGGGGGACACGATTTCATCTTACATTTTACTCTCAAATACCACTGAATGACACTGAACAAGTTGCTTATCCCTTTGTGCCTCAGTTTACTCCTCTGTATAACAAGAACAATCCTTACCTACCTCATGTGGGTTCCGAGAGGATTACTTAATGTTTGTGATATATTGTGTGATCTTTGGTGAAAGGCATTATGTAAGTGGAAAATATTAATTATTTCCTACCCTTTAGAATAAGCATCTTATATTGCTTTTTAGGTCTTCGCTGAGGAAAGGATCCCTATTCAGGTCATTGCATAAGCACATGCTCAACTTTATGCATATTTAGAGGAATTAAACTAGTGCTTAAGTTCTTTCCTGAACTGCAGACTTAGCATGCAGATCAATCTATGTTTTTATGTATATGCTAAAAATCTAAATGAGTGTTAAAGTTTTTTTTAATAAAAAAAGTAATGCAGAAGCAAACTACAACAGGAATGGCTTAGTACAGTATAACAAACAGCAAGAACTCTGAAATCAGACGGAGTAAGCACAGAGATCAAAAACTCTTTTAAAAGATCACAATGGTCTTTAGTCCAAGTTAAGCTTGTAATTCAAAACCAATACTTTCTAATCAATATGGTACTTCACTGTGGTAGCTGACAGAGCTGAACTGATACAATCAGCTCATCTAACAAACTGTTACCCAAGCAGCAACATTTGTGGAGTTTATCTAAGAACCATGCAAGCAGTGAATTGTAGCATATAAAAGACAAAAAAGGTAAAATTATTACAACATCATTGCTACTAGACTGAAAGATACCAAGTTACTGCTGTAACATATGCCTTAAGATCTGAAACCTGTCCAGATGTTTGATTTGATTTCTCTTAGGCATAAACAAGGCATCAGTATTTTAAAAGGAGAAGTACAGTTAGAACAGTTTAGTATCATTTTTCTCTCATGGTATGGGACAGCCTGGTTTAGAAGCAAGATAGATGCCACCTTTATTTCCTGACTGTACTACCATCAGGAAACAAACCATCACAGAATGAGATGACGAGAGAGAACTTGCTTTATAATACTTGGCATCTTTGCTTTCCAACGTAAAATTTAAGGAGCAGGAGTTGTTCAGTTTCCTATACAACAAGCCGTAAGCCACTGTAAAATGTTTACACTCTCTTGATGCCAATATAGTCTGTACTGTTACAAACACATGAACTTCTGATGCACTAGGAACATGACTCTAGAGTGGTGCAAATCTGAGCACTCTTAACCTTCAAGGAGGAACTGTTATCAGTCCTATAAGTATCTTGAAGAGCAAAGATCCAAGTGTGATGCTTCATAGTCCACCTCTGGGATTCATTCATCATGTGAAGTTTGGGCGGGGGGGGGGGGGGGGGGGGGGGGGGGGGGGCGAAGGGGCAGGGGAAGCCTCAACATGACAACAGTTATTGTGTTTGGTTATTTGTTTGATTTTTTACAAAGTAAGATGCCCAGATGTTATGACGAAACTTGTCATTCAACCACTGATGGTAGTTTCTTGCTCACTGAATTTCATTTGCTTTAAGTTCTGTGCATTAAATGCACCTACAGTAAGAGTACAGTATCTTACTTGACATACTAATGTTTTCTGTCAAAAACCAAACTGGTTGTTGTGCTGTCCACTGAGCTTATCAGATCTCATTATCTAATTCTTCAAAGTAAAGTTTAAACTACAATAAAACTGAAACTGATGCCACTGTATGATACAAGGTTCTTTAGAAAGATCTTCTAAAAGGTATCAAAAGCTATTGTAATCTCTATTGAGACTTGAACAAATGATGCTCCCCAACCTTATGCCCATATTTTAAGAGTGCTGTTCAGAGCATTCAGCAGAGCTGTCTCAGTGCTGTGACCTGAAACCAGAAAGGAAAATCTCAAGCAGATTCTTAACAGGTAAGTGAGATAAAACACTGATCCTCAAATATACACTGAAGACACTGTGCTGAAAGAGGTAAGATCAAGAAGTTCCCTCCACAAAAATCTCTAGCCTTCAGACATGTGTCTAGGCAATTCAATAAGAGCTTAACTTTTTTTTATAAATGAAGTTCCAGAAGACAGAGTCAAGTAAGGGCAACTACCTGTGTATATATTAGAGTCACTCCTGAAAAACTAAAAGCTGGTTTTGATCATTTATTATATAAACTATCCCATTTTATTATTTTCTAAAGGGGAAACCCAAAAAGCTTTTGGGTACTAAAAGATGCAGATGATCTGAGAGTGGAACATAAGGTTAAACTTCTCCCTCTATTTATGGTTCTCTCAAATTATATAGTTCTCCATTCAGATGATTCTGTAGGGAAAATAGAACAGTGCTCAATAAACATATTTTGTAATCCTTGTAAGTCAGTTAATTTTCAGGTATTCCTTCCTCTCAACATATCCAGACTTCTTGCATGTGCAGATGGAGTCTGAGGATCGTCCTGGTTAATTTTCAGAATTTTTCTTATGGACCTAGCCCAAGCAGTACTAGACGCTAAATACAGTAATAAATGAAATTATGACATTTGCCTGAAATCACTATCAAGATGAATAGTACAAATTTATTTCCTGTGGAATCACTTGGTTCAGTGTCCTGAAGTTAGACAATAGAGAGTGAAATCCTGCTCAATGGAAATCAATAGGAATTTTACTATTGATTTCAAACAGGGCCAGGCTGCAAACCAATTTTGTCTGGAAACCAATTTTGTCTAATCCCATGCCCTCATAACAGAGAACCAGGTAAGAGCAGAGGTTCTCAAAGTGTGGTCCATGCACTGCTTCCACATATCCACAGAGTTGTTTTTGTCACAATGGGGTGACAGCTTTCACTCTTTCAAGAGGTTACGCTTCCTGCTAGTCACAGTCCAGAATAGGAATATCTTCCAGGGACTCTGGGGGCTTTTTATTTTTTAATTAAACAAAACAACCACTCCCCCAACCTTTTCTTCCATCCTGCTTTGTACCCTGCTTCATGCATCTGTTTGTCAAGTTTTTTTTCCATGTATATTCAATGGCGACCAAAGTTACACCCATGACCAGAACTGAAAGGGTAGCAAAAACCAGGGAGGCAGAAGCAAACTACAAAGCAACCTGAGGACATTGGAGCAGTAGAGGCTGCACAACACTACGTCCAAGAGACAGAAAATGGAGGGGAGGTGGTGAGCAAGGTAATCAAGCAGCACACAGCTACCTGAGAAGATGTGGGATTGGGAAGTTAGGAGCTCTGGCACAAACAATCTCTGTTTTAAGAAGAGGGCCACAACACAAAGTTTCAGACTAATGGGGTTACAGGACTCTGAACGTTCCCAAGACAGAGTTAAGTAAACTTCACAGATTAAAAACAAGGAGGCCTTTGTGTTATTTCAAATTGCTACCTCCAAATGAGCCACGGAGAACCTAACTGCTACTGCAGTTATTCATTCTGAAATGAGAAAACAAGCCTTCAAAAATTACATAATATTGAAATTTATCTGTGAAAACCTTTTCTGTTATTTTTAAAAAGAGACACAGTTTGTGGGGTCATACTTATTTCTACATAGCGGCTGGGCAGGTCTCGCATTTCACTGGCATGCCGTTCCTTTACCGAACATATCTAGAAAACAAAGACATTTTATTCAGTGCTATTCATCTCAAACTATGTTGCATTCTGAAGCGCTTAGAGACATGTGCATTATTAGAGCTTCAACAAAGCTTGGGCTTTGCATTGTTGTAAGCTGGGCAATTACTATTTACCATTATCATTTAGAAGGAGACCATTAAAAACTGATGGAACTGCAGGAAAGTGCTACAGTAACCCATAGCCACACAAATAAACGTTGGAGGAGGAAGGAAAAATGACTCAATTTAAAATCTGGTTGCTGTGGTTCATACAGATTAGTAACTATGGGCTCGGTTTTTGTGTCACCTCCTTCGTCCATTGAGTGACCCCTCAAGCTTTTGAGTGGAACTAAAGTACTGCTCACTCTGAGTAAGTATGGCAGAACCAGGCCCTGTACATTTGTTTAGCTGATTTACAAAGCACTCTTGGTCTAAGTGTATGAATGTTATGAAACTGATACAATTTGCAAATGTAAAAACAGATGCAAAACTTTTAATTAAACCTCATAGTATAGAAAACTCTTCCAAGATTTTAATGTCACAAAAAAGCATTTTTTTAAATGATGTTTCCCATCTCACTATATCCGACTCCATACCATTTGCTCATACCAGCCATTTTTAAATTTCCAACACTGAGCACTAATGTAGCAGTCTGTTATTAGAAAGCATCTAACATTCTTGTAACAAACGTATCAGGTATGAGTCTCAGCAAATCATACATGTCTCCAGTGCGCGTGTTTAAAATGCCAGCTCCCTGCTAAAACAGGATTGAAAGAAAAATATTCCTTTCCATTTCCATGGCTGAAGGAAACTGTGTGTCCATTTCAACAGTCACAAAAAACCCACCTCATGACAAGCTGTTTCTGCTTATGCTAATACAAATAAATGAATTCGACAATTCTCTAGGTGCTTTCAAAAGGGGTAATCTCTTGAAGGCACAGAAAAGAAAAATGTCCCCGGGGATTATACACACCGTATGTACAGAGAAATCTGTCTGGCCACTGGGTGTCTGTCATTACTCCTCCTCCTGAGGGTCAGCCCAATGATATTTCTATGGCAGCAGGAGTTCTGCACACAGTTGTCAAACCAAATTCCATCCTTTTCAATTGTCTTTGCTTTTCAAAACTAATCTTTTGTTTCTCTGTCTGTGATAACAGCAAGCATTTATTACAAGGACAGGTAATTATACCTTTACTGAAGTTCCCCAGCCAATAATCAGTGTTAAATTATCTTTCCAGCAAAGGCTGCAGGGATACATATCTGGGCGAAGGCTTATATCATCACGAGGCACATTGGTAATTCTTTGCTTGGAGATCATGTCAAGTATCTTCACACCCTGGAAGTTAAATACAATCCAGTCTTACTTACTATGCCATCTCTCCTACAAACGGCATCTCAAAACATTTTGTGGTGTTCGGCATTACATGACAGAATATTCATGTCTATGGCATAAGTTGCAGCTGTGTCAAAAGAATGTATAGCAGAAATATGTAAGTGTTCAATATTAAGACCAATATAACCCAGGAGAAGAGAAGAGAAATTAAAGAGGTACAAGCAAGGGAGACATATTTTAACCCATTTAATAAGTGATAGGATAGGATATAGAGACACAATAATGAGGAAGAGAAAACGCAGGCAGATAGCAACATCTGAGACAGAAGAAGCTCCAGAGCAGAAGGATCTTGTGAAATTGTGGGAAGGAACAGAGAGAAGGCAGGGGCTGGATGTGCAGATGGAGTCAGGAGACGAAAAAGAGGAGCATCAGCGAGGCATCAGCACCACTGAAGTAGAAGACAATGTTTTTTAAAGCAAACTAAACTCAAAATTAAAAAAAAAAAAAAACCACCACCACCACAAGAAATAGAACGTACCTAGTAGAAAGCTGCAGTGTTTCTTTTATTAAGTTTGCTAGCAATTACCCATTCTAGAGGGAGGAGCGTAGTGAGGTTTGCAGATTTGTCAGGATATTTTTGGGGAGAGCATGACCAGATACAAGTAAAAGGTGCTATTGGTTAAGCCTCTCCATAACTGTTCGCTAACAGCCAAGGAGGAGACTCCACAGAGGTTAATGCTGTTTTAAGCAGCATTACCTCTCCCAATGAGATCTCTTTGGCTTTATCTGCAGGCAGAGAAGATGATGATGCTACAAAGGACGGCCAATCCCCTGCTCCAGCATCTCTGAGACCAGCCCCACCTTCAAAATCTTGCTGTGCCATGCTGTAGGAGCACTAAAAATTCCCTAGCACGTGTTAACATAGCACTGTTTGAAAGAGAACCAGTTAGCGCACCACATGCTAATGCAGACTAACATTTACACCCATCTGGTGGAGACTAAAGCACTGTGTAGACAAGCTCTTAGTCTTTTAGCTCAAACTGAAAAGGCTCATGCTCTTAGCTCTGGAGGTTCCCAGTAGATAACCCCTGTGTTGCTTAACTGTAAGCCCTGTAACTAGCTCATGCTGTCTGTGGCTCAGGCACAGAGGGGAACGTTTAACAAACAACAAACATGTCTGATGCCAGAATCAGGGCTTACAACTATAGATTCAACCTGGTGGCTATTTCAGAATATCAGAGGTCCAAAAGATTTGTACACAACATGTCAAAAAGAACACCAGGGGAGAATAAGACCAACATAGCTAAATGGTAACACACAGACAGTTATGAGGACACAAAAGGCATTCTATAAAGTGGACTCAACAGTACGGAACACTAACTGCACTGGATAAGGAATACATTGGAAATTAAAAAGGCTAAGAGAAAAACAAAGGGTCAAGAGTCAAATATATTAATTTTCTGGAGGGCAAGCATCATTTCACTTTCAACATAAGCAAAAGCCTGGCTGTGACTTTTTTGTCTCTGACAGATGGCATTCAGCATGTTATTAGTATTCCATGTTCCTATGTGGTCCTCTCTAGAGACACCTCTCTTCAACTGTCATATCTACTCCCAGCAGATTCTCATAGAATAAATATTTTAATTGAATGGCTCTGAAAAGAATGGACCATCAGCAGTGGCCATGCAGGAAGACGAAGCAGCCATTGAAGCTGCATTCTCCAACGGTAGAGTTGTCCAGAAGAAGCATATTACCAGTAGATCCATGCAGCAGGTTTGGCAGGCAATGCCTGTTGATTATATATAAATTAATTCTAAAAATGGATCAGAGCAAAAAAATCCTTGAATACTTCAGCTTCAAAAAGAAACTAATAGAAAAAGGGTAACATATTCAAAAGGGCTAAAATCCCATTTTCATAAGTGACTTGGGTTCCTAAGTGCCTAAGTCACATTTGAAAATGAGACTTAGCTGCTTTTGAAAATGCTACCCACACTGGCTACTCGTCACTATTGGGCTTTGGCATTTTACTCAATTTCGGCCTTGACCTTGTAGTTTGATCTGCAAATGTAGGTGAAATTCCATGGTCTGTGTTATCCAGAAGATTAAACTAGATGTCTACAGTGGTTCCTTTAGGTCTTAATCTATGAAATTATACTTTTAGTAAAAAGAGTCGATTTTCTGCTAAGTATTTTCCAAGGGGGACTCCCAAAGGCCTATCCAAATTAGGAATTTAAAAAAAAAAAAAAGATTGCACCCATGGAACTACACTGATGTAGTTACACAGGTGCAAACCTCAATGTACTGTAGACACCATTCATCGATTTAAAGTAGAGCTCACAATAATGTGATTCAGTATGGCGGCTTCTCAATGCAAGCAGCACTGGTGTCAACCCTGCTTTCCACAGGGGCAGGGTACATCTCTAATAGGGGTTTGCACAGGTATAAGTCTCTACAGTCCTTCAGAAGAATACAGCAATAGTGAGTGTACTGAAGAGAGAGAGAGAAAATTTACACACCTCAAACATAGATTCTTCCCAATGTTTGACTGCATTAATATTCTGAATAATGGAGACAAATGTTTTAATATATCAGAGTATTTTATAAAAGGAGCATTCTGGCAAACTGACCTTTAAAATGCTTCAAGTATCGGTCAAACTTGATGCAACAATACCAGGTAACTTTCCACGTATATTTACCAGAGATGGCAGATACAGTAGTAAATACTTACCATATTATTGGCCCAAGCAATTAAGTGTCCTCTCCATTTTACATTTCTTATGTTTCCTTCTCCTTCGTGTAAAACAGAAGGCTTCCATCTGTTCATCCAAGTCTTCTCATATAACAGCAACTGTGGAGGAGTATAACAAAAACATAGTTCAGTGAAGTAGTGCTATATATAAAATGAAACTTTTTTTGATTAGTAAAAGTATTTCTAATCTTTGTGTTTGAATTGGAAGAGAAAAAAAAAAGTGTTGTCCAACCAAACAAAAAGAGAAGCAATAAGGTCAAATATTTTAATTAGTCTCCAATGTCAAAGCAACACATTTATTATTTCAGAATTAAATCTACTTTAATAATAATAATCAGCTCTTTTATGGCACTTAAATGGCTTTGCAAAGGAAGATGTAATTATACCCATTATAAAGGTGGGGACATCAAGGCACAGAGGGATGTGAAGTGATTTGCTCAAGTGTCTGCAGGTAAGCGAGAAAACACAGAATAGAATCCAGATCTTCTGACTCCAATCCACCAATTTAACCATGGGACCATTGCTCCTTTCATGTAATAGGAGATTAGACCTAGCTTTTTACATGTACGGCATAACTAGCACCAATCAAGCAATGATATGTAGGCTCCAATCCCATGATCTGATCCTTATAGCCATGCAGAACCATCTTTATTTCAATGGGGCTCTACATAGGTATACAGATCCACCCATGCAGATTAGATTGCAAACTCTATGGGACAAGAACCTTGCCTTCTTCCTAGAAGAAAGATTTCTATTATATTTAATAAACATATACAAAATTTTTAAATAATTTCTGAAACTGATAAGTACTTCACAGCAAAAGAGAAATAATTCTCAACTAAATGAAGATTGCTTCCAGGACAGCCCAATTGTTTATCCATTCCAGTGTACCCCCAGTGCATTTTTATTTAATATGGTTTTAACATTTCTGGGGTGCTATCAGTTTATTAGCAACACATGAAAAAGACAAAGTCCCTGCCCTGGACAGCTTACAGTTTAAGGCCCCAATCCTACCAACATTTATTCACATGAGTAACTCAACTACTTCAATGAGTAGCTCATGTGCATATAACAGGACTACTCATGTGTTATTCCCTGCAACCACTTGTGCATGTATTGAGGACTAACTCAACAAACTAAAATTCCAAGGAAACATTTCAAATGTAAGAAACTATTACAGACAACCCTGCCTACAGATGGAACATTTTTTCTCTAAATGCTTGGTTTTAAAAACACACTTTTATTAGAAAAAAGGCTTCAGGTAATAGCTATACAGATTGCATGTCTTTTGCATGACCACAAGATGGCACCAAAAGACAGATATTTCCAGAAAAAGTTTAATTGGAGGCAGAAAATAGAAGTTTTATCAGCAAGTTTTACACTCAAATGCACTGCAGAGAGAACACTTCCTAACTTAACACACGCTTTACAATCTCTCCCCCATCAAAATGAGATAATTTCACTAACAGAGCCCACATAGCAGTGACACTTGTCAATGTCTTTGGATAATTGTTTCTTTGTTCATATAATCTATGAACAAGTCACAAACAAAAGAACTTTAAGTGGCATGAATCATTTGGCTTGGTTGCTTTAATATAAAGTTAAGCTGAACTGAAAAATAACGACAAGAGAACTTTAATACAACGAACTCAGAAATTGCTCCTATTGGTGGCTACATATAATTGGAAATGATTTTTGCTAATTTACATAATATTAAAGAAAGCCTTGATGGGAAAAAAATAAAGTTATACTTCAAGCATTTGTTTTAATTCTTTTAAGTTAAAGTACTTCAAGTGTGTGGTATTTATTTAACTAGACAAAAGTGTTGACTTTATTATTCACACCAGTATTAAAAGTGGCTACATTTACAGTGAACAATATTGATTGCAAATTGAACCCCTTTCTTTTTGTGAACAGATTGTGATCATTGAAAATATATTTGTTATTCATAAGTATTCATTGAGTTCCCTTGGAAGAACACTTTTAAACCTTCTCTCTATTATATGTGGTTTTGTTAAGGCTCCCACAGTGAGTGACAAATTTTTAAGATTAGAGAATAATGAACAAACAACAGTAAACTTGTGTACTTTTGGTACAAGTTTTCAAGTGTTTATTCATTCAGGATAAATTCCTGGCACTTTCAGAATGTATGATCTTTACAAATACAAGCTGCTGAATAAGAACACACTGAATATATTTACAAGAATATGCACAAATCAGGGTTTAAGAACGCATATACCCCACTGTTTGGTCCTGAATGTTACCTATTGTTGGCCAAACACACTGGAAAAAAAGATGAGGTTTGTACCAAGGAATTACAGTAACTCCTCATTAAACATTGTACTTATGTTCCTGAAAAATGCGACTAAGTGAAATGATGATAAGTGAATCCAATTTCCTCATAAGAATGAATGTAAATGGGGTTAGGTTCCAGGGAATTTTTTTTTTTTTTTTTGCCATACATTACAGTACTATAGTTGGGAGGTGCCCCCGCCCTACCCCACACAGGCACAGCCCACTGGAACTGGAGACAATGAGGCAGGCAAGGAGGCTGAAGGTGCTGTAGGCTAGGAGAAGCACGTTGCGCAGCAGCAGTGGCAGCTTCCCCTACTCTGCAAGCACCAGGGGTGGGGGGCTCAACCCTCGGCCAGCCCACACCACCCCTTCCCCCAAGCCCCAACCCTTAACCCGCCTCTTCTTCCCCCCTCCTCCCCCTTTACTCCGCATGCCGCGTCCTCGCTCCTCCCCCCTCCCTCCCGCACGCGGCAATCATTGCCGCGTTCAGAAGGCAGGAGGGAGGAGCAAGGACAGGGCGCGCAGGCTCCCCCTCCCTCCCCTGCCTCCTGAACGCCACAAGCCAGCTGATTGCCGCGGGCAGGAGGCAGGGGAGGGATGGGGGAAGGTGCGCCGCGTCTTCGCTCCTCCCCCCTCCCTCCAGCCCATGGCAATCAGCTGGCTTGCGACATTCAGGGGGCAGGAGGGAGGGGGGAGGACTCGGTGCGCAGGCTCCGCTCTCCCTCCCGACTCCTGCCCACAGCAATCAGGGAGGGAAGGGGAAGGTGCTGATCCGTGGGGTCTGCCGGCAGGCGGGAGGCGCTGGGGGGGGCGGCGTAGAGAAGCTGATGGGGAGCTGCCAGCTGTGGACAAAGCAGGCAGCCAAACGACGTTATAGCGAAGCATTGCACAACTTTAAATGGAGCATGTTCTGTAATGGAGCAGGGACGTAAGATCGAAACAACGTTAAGCGAGAGGACGTTAAGTGGGGAGTTACTGTAAATTAAAACAACAGCAAAGAACTGATGGCCATTATAACAAACGATTTCCAGAGGTTCTGAGAACCCCTCAACTCCAAGCCTCCAAGGGAACTGTGGGTGCCCAGCACCTCTGAAAATTAGGCCTTAAACTTAATACTCTAGAGAAATTTAAGATTTCCAAAATAAATGTGAAAATTTTTGCTTACATTAGTTCATTCAAATGGTGCTAAACTTTCCCCAATAATATAAATTTAGTAGAAAAAGTATTAACGATAGATTTGAAGTTCAACTAAATGCTATTTGAATGTCAACTGTTTCCTAAAGCATTATATAGAATAGGCAATGTTACATTATTTAGACCCACAATACACATCAATTTAGAATTATTATATTGTGGTAGGCAATGTCCTTTATGGATTCTTAATACCTATTTAAACCCACCTGCCTACAGTGAAGAATATTTTTGTGGGGGGGAGAAGGGGGAAGGAACATCTACATATTGCACCATGGAAAGCCTGTTTTCAAATCTCAGCCCAACACAACAGACAACCCCTGCCCTGAATAATATATAGGCGTAAGCCCCAAACACTTACGCATGTGCTTACCTTTGCGCACATTAATAGTTCCCCCATGAAATGTAAAACAAGTGTTTGCAGGATCAGAGCCTACAAAGACAAAGACCGGGAGAAAAGAAGAATTGCTATCCCCATTTTGCAGATGAAGAAACAAAGACCCTACTCAGGAAAACGTCCCCATACAGGACAGCACTTACACATGTGCCTAGAGTTAAGCACATGCATATGGTGATTTCCTGAACTGGGGCCAGAGATGAAGTGACTTGTTCCATGTCACATAGGGCGTCTGTAGCGGAGGAGGGAGTTGAACCCAGTCTCCTAAAGCTCAAACCAGTGTCCTAATCACAAGGTCATCCTTCCATTTCCAAAAGTACAGTACAACAGTAACTAATACTGGTGTCAACAGAAAGAACTCCTAATCTAGTGGCTTCAATAAGACAATATTCTTCTCTCAAAAATGTTATACTAATTTAACTGCAATAAAACTATACACCCTATTTTACTGACATTTAATAAAATCTCTCTCTCTTTTCCTCACAATACAGCCACCTTGAGACTCACTGAACATGAATGTTCTACAAAGCATTTTAGGCGTTTGTAATCCATTGAGCATATTTCTCTTAAAAGCAGTTGGTTAATTTATTTAGTTCATCTTCCACACAGCTATAATATTGAATTGTCATTATCACAAAACCAAAAAACAATTTAAACTCAATGGGAGCTATGTATGTAGAGAGAGAAAAAAAGTTTCCAAGACAGGGTTTCCCCCACCCTCTCTCTTTTTGGTTGGGGAAGGTATTTTAGGGTTCTACTTCCCATAAATCCACTTTCTGGCAGCTAGCACTCTCAGTATTTATTTTTCAGCAGCAACAACAGCAAAATCACTTCCTTGCATTCTCTACAATATCCTTCATTCCTCTGTTTTGTACTGATAGATCTCTCTAGTTCTTTGTTACAGTATAGCAGTGTTTAAGATGCATATCCCAACATCTCCTGCTTGTATAATGTATCACAATATAATATGGCTGCAATAAAACAAGCAAGCTAAACCTTCTCTGACATCATCACACTGGATACTGGACTTGACCCCACTTTCCTCACCTTTACAGAGAAGGGGTGTGCAAAGCTCTGCCACACTGAAGTCTTCTTGGTTTCTCACCACTTTATTGTTTTATGGTGTTTTAATGAAAGACTCCTCAGGATTTTTCTAAATGTTGAATAAGCATCCACATGCCTATATTCAACCACTGCGCAGCTAACTGTTGCAACA